CGAACTTGTCCGTATGGCGGAAGAGACCCCTCTGTCTCACGCAGCCTCTCAACGAATGAGTTCACCAAGATAACGCCATAAATCTATAAAAAAAAACAAATACAACAGTCTGAGAGTAGCATGAAAGTTCACCTGTGTTGGTACAAATCATTATGAAATAAAGACTGAACTTTAACTTCCAACACTAGATATATAGAATTGGGACTTACCCCAAATTTTCGGTTGACTCCATCATAAAAATCCTTGATTCTGAACCGGACTTCTTTGCAAGAGGAGTTAAGGAGGCAGTCTACATAAGAGCTCACAGACCTACCCTGAACAGAGACAGGCCGGGGGGCGACACAAGTTATCTGGCACGTATGACCCGCTACTACGGTCACGTGTCTCTGACGTCACGTTCCAAGAGTAGACGGGTCCATTCCGTGAACAAGGTTGATGGAGTCAACCGAAAATTCTATATATCTAGTGTTGGAAGTTAAAGTTCAGTCTTTATTTCAGTCTGATAGTAGTAGACAAAAAAACAGAACTATCTGCTGACAAGCGCTAGCTGTGAGTTACCAGATACAAAACTACGTCTTAGCAGCTAAACACGATGGGCCAGTTTAGGTCATGTATCACCATCATCATCATTAGACTTCTTACCTTACTGACTTAGGTCCTTCCACAACCTCCCACATAAATAGACTTGGCGGCAACTTTCGACCTCGAAAGGATTAGGGTTTCACTGTATCACTATCTGCACAGAGTGTAGTTTACGACGACATTTGCAGACAGACATCATACTAACAAAATCAGAAAAATAAAGTTTCTCTGACCCTTCAAGAAAAAAAAAACTTGTACAAAGATACATGTACTTATTAGATACTTTGTAATTCTGATGCATTATTTGTGCAATACAAAGAAAAGACGATGCTCACCAATAAGCCGCCTTCAAAAGCTAAACCGGCCCACAGGTGCCCCAACTGGTGTGCTGTTTCGGGCCTATTCTGTAAAGATAAAACATCATAGCAAATATTGATAACTTAAACTATCACATAAACAGCGTCAATTTGGAGGATAGTTTTGCCTAAATGCTGTCATTACAATGTCGATCCTTAAACAAAGGCGGCATCTGCAGTAGAAACAGAGATATGTACCCCATCCACCATAACGTGACAATAAAAAGACATTCATTTGGTAAAAAAGGTGTGGAAGGCCCCGATCCAGAATACCACAAAGTTAAAAGTATTTAAGTCTTGTGTAGAGCCTATTTTGTTGTATAGTTCCGACTCATGGACTTTAACTAAAGCCGTGTCTAAGAAACTGAATGGTAACTACACGCGCCTGCTTCGGTGCGTGCTGAATGTTCCATGGCAGAGCCGCATGAGTAACAAAGAACTTTACAACGGTCTACCCCTGATTACCCAGACCATTCAGAACAGACGACTGGCCCTTGCCGGTCATGTGGTACTTAGACTTGGAGAGTAGTCATGTGGTACGCCACGAAGAGATGGCTGCCAAAGTGCTTCTCTGGCAACCGGATGTAAAAAGAAGGAGGGGACGTCCGTGCCTAACGTTAAAGAAACTGATCGAGGAAGAGGTTGGCCTACGGGATGAGGAACTTCTGTCCGCCATGCATATGCGAGACAGAGTCACATGGAGAGACATTATGAATGGCACCTCAAAAGAGGATGACCTGAACTGAACTGAACATTTGGTAACCGTCCCAAGAAGAAAGCAATGCAACATCAGTTGAAGGAAGGGGGAGAAGTATTTTGACTAAAATGTGCATCTTGACTATAGAGCACGACAATGTTTATAGAAGGTGCATACATACTTACCGAAGCACGAAAGGAGGAACTGATGATGGTAAAAATGAAAATGATGGTCACATAGACAATCGCACCGATCATCCATATTCGGCACAGCAGATAGTTTCCCTATATGGAACGCAGAAGTAAGGCTTCGACATTAGAAACGGGCTATTGGAACTAGCCCATACCAAGTGGAACTAACATGAAGCTATCGTAATCAACAGAACTTTTATAGCTTAAATATCCACACGTGACATTTTGCTGATAATGCTACGTAAAAGAACCAAACGGCAGATATTAAGCATCATATAGTTTTAAATCACCACATTCTGTAGTCATCGTTTGTGTCAATGTTTGTTTGCAATTAGCCCTCGGGCATGAATTTACAATAAAGAAGTCATTATAAAAGCAAACAAATTGTTAGAGATATACCACGTGCATCCTGCATGTATGTGTCGTAGTAGAAAATGGCTTCTTCAATTGTGTAAAAAAAACTATTAAAAACAGAATACCACCTAACCTTGATGGCGGCGACAACAAGGCTGACACACAGAATGATCATCATCACGTCAACTACCATGTCCCCAATCATGAGATCTGCAACGGCTGCAATATAATCATGATATCAATAAGATATATACATATATTACAATTTAACGCGGACCTTTTTATCGTCACCGGTTCATACTAGTTAGAAACTGAGATTCACTAAATATATCTACTATTATAGTCATGCATTTGTCTAACTTTGATAGGCATTGATCGAGAATTAGCGTTACACGCTTGTTATCAACAACCTACTTTGGCTGGAGTTTGGAGGTTATTAGGTACTTACGGTCCCCTTCGTCCTCAATAGAAGGGTTGGAGACTCCAACTCTACCCACAATGAAAATAGACACTACAAGATTCATCAACGTAAATACCTATGAAAAAAAGAGAAGGTATACAGCTATAACATTATGAACAAAATTCGGATCATACTTAGGATTTCAGAAGGATTGCAGAATAAACATTAATATGTTTGTATGCAAACCTGGAACTTCTTAAGTGTTCCGATCTATTGTTTTCGTTGTTACGTAACTTGGCTTGCAAAGAAAGTACAACAAGAGTTCCACGATCTCATACCTTCGCCAAATGATGTTAACCCTTGCGGTTGACGAATTATACAGTTTTAATCATTGATTTTGTAAAGATCATGTCCAGATCACGAGATATCAAAACCGGAAGTTCTGCTGCAGTACCTAGGAAAGCCGCCAGGGGGCCCAAAATCTAATTATTTCTAGGTCTCATTAAGATCTACCCACCTACCAAGTTTCATTTCAATCCATCAACTGCTTCTCGAGTTATCTTGCTAAACCACACACACACACACACACACACACACACACACACACACACACACACACACACACATACATACCCACAGACAAACGCTACTGAAAACATAACCTTCTTGGCGAAGGTAAAAATCAAGCTATGTATGCTGACAAGTGCTTTAGCTTATACACTGTAGAAACCGCAAGGCCCGACATTATATATAATGCTAGTGCAGAGTGACATTACCATGAACACAACAGAGAGAGCGATGATTCCACACTTGAGGGAACAACAACAGCAACAGTTTTCCACTCGCGGAATGCCGATAGCCATCTCGTACAGTGGTTGGATAGTTTCAGCGACAATCGGAACCTGAAAAACATATGTTGGTGAGTCATTGTAAGTGATTCAATTCATCATGGACTCATGAATTTGTATTTGATTTACATCTATTTAAAACTTAAACAAGTACATAACGATAAACACTGCTGAATATATTATACATTTCATGACTAGACATGCATGGTGACAGCACACTCAAGTTATATCAACTTATTTCATGCCGTCACAAACGCAGATAGAGGACAAATACGGAACAGGACAATACTCATTTTCACCTGAGTTAAGTGAGGAAAGTCGTGTAAAGTGCCTTTCCCAAGGGCACAAGATCGGTGGCATGTCAGGACTCGAACCCGGGACCTCTCGGTTCCGAGTCGAGCACGCTACGCCACACAATTCCACGCCCCGATGCTTATATTTGCTTAGGGATTAGAGTATAACATACGTTTACATATATAACGTTATACATATATTTGTAACATGTTAACATATATAACGTTATACATATATTTGTAAATAAAAGTATGTATGACAACTTACTTCACTGAACGGATAACTTCAATGGCTGCTTCCACAGGACTAACTTGATGAAGACTGAGTACGTGGATTCACTGTTTTCATATTCCCACACCGCCAACGTATCTATTTCTTGGAACAAGTTACATTGTTCCTTTATCGATCGATTAGCTTTCATGAGCCACTTTCCTTTCCATTTCTAAGTTGTTACGGAAATAAAAGACGTGTGCTGGAACTGGTGCCATTAGATTGGGACTGCCGGGGTCGTTATTCAAGCGCCATTCAACTGAGGCCGCACCGAAGAGGTCTTATGAAGCCAAGCCAGCTGAACCTTGCCTTTGAATCTTGGCTTTGTTTCTTGGCATTGACACTTGGCTAAAGATTCAATGCCAAGAAATAAAGCCAAAATTCAAGGCCAAGTCAGGATTAAAAGGCCGCTGCCAACTCCTTCTTTGAAGAGAGGGAAGTTACCGTGTACAGGGCACTAAGATTTACGGTAGGTTCAATCTGAATTGAATATACACACATGTAACACAGTTCTAGCACAACCTGTTGCATCATGCAAAAACTTTCACGACTTTCAAACACCCCTACATCTGCTCGGGAATTTTGGGGATGGGCCATGGGCTTCGCAGCAGAATTTCTGGCCCCTCCAAACTCACGCTTACCATGATCATGCTTCTTCCATCACAACACGCCTCGGGGAAGTTGGGACTGGGCCAAGTACGTTGACAGACTTCACGCATCAGAAAGGGGCCAGAGAGGGGAGGGGAGCTACAGCAGATCTTCTATAGTTCACTCACCATTCCAAAACGTCCGGGACATGTTACTACTGTTGATAATTAATAATATGGTCCTCATGTATGTATGTATGTAAGTCAAGTAGTGCATCTCTTGTCTCCAATTTTCCATATACGTTTGTTATGTGTCTGTTATATCTTGACCTGTACCTAGCCCGTCGTGGCATGAATGTACAATAAAGGTATTTCATGTCCGACTAATCTCCAAGCAGATTCGGTGGGGCAAGGAGACTTTATGTTGGCCGCCTGTATCCATTGTGGGGCGGACGATGGATACAGGCGGCCAATCATTGATAAAGTCCCCTTGCCCCACCGAATCTGCTTGGAGATTAGTTGATAATCTACTTTGTCTATTCGCTCCCCAGGCGAGGACACAGGGTGCTACGAGCTGTAACATGCCAGTCTGCGACCGGTCACACCTCCCCGTGTTATCGTTGAAGGCCGATCGCTATTCTCCAAAGTGATGTTATTCGTTAACGTTACTACATAGATAATTTTCTTGTCGTTTTTAAAAGCAGATAATACAACAGAAGTCGCTATGTGATCAATCCTATCGCGAATCTCACTAGGCTACCGATTGCTAAAGAAATCATTCTTGAATTGAACACCTACCTCTTGGCCTGTCTCCTGTCTTGATCCTTGCCCTTCTGACAGAATCGTCTGCAGTGTTAAATAAGTAAGATCTCTGCTCTCTTGTGTATGAGATTAGTACCAAAGGCACGTTTTACATTACTAGCTTCTATTGGCTGTTCAGGGAGGAAGGCAACACTTACTAGTATTTGGAGGGGGAGGCTCAGGTTGATAGAGACATTTATTATGACTTACAACGTTTATTTATCATTCTCGGACGCAGAGCCATCCTACAGCAATACATAATGAAGTATGCTTCTATATGCGTGTGTTGCCCTTGGGTAGCTCTAGATCTGCGCCATGCGCGTTTACAAGCTGTCCAGTATTTTTTTGCGAGAAAAAATAGGACAGTTAGAATATCCCTTAAGTTTAAGAATGCATTCTAGGTATCAACGTCCAACAGGTCGTTTGGCATCACAATTCTGAAATAAGTGTGACCTTGTAATACAGGGAGTTTCTACCAGACAGGCTCAGTCCGAATGTGCACAATAGGGTTGAAAAGAATATAGCGTAGCCAGACCACTCCACTAGTCTAGACTGGTTTAATAAAATAAATGAAGTATATAATCATGGCCACTTCATTCTTCCATACCTAATGTCGTCCTATCGCTACAAGTAAATCTGTTGAATTCTCTATGATTACACCCATGTACTTCAATCAAATATTTACAACCACAAATTTTACATGGTTGAACATCAGATAGTGTACAATATGAATCAACACAACAGTAACAACTAGACTGCCATCATTAATCAAATTACATGTTCTTTATCACCTCAAAGCCACAGGGCGTATACAAATATTTCAAGATTGACAACTCCTTAAAATGGGAGGAAAAAATACACTATACACAATGACTATATACAAGCAAATAGAGAACTATATACAACGGTTGTGATAGCATATTCAAGGACAACACACTCCATGTGACATTAAAATTTGTTTGTTTGTCCCACACGACCTCCTTGATACAAGTCTCACCACCCATTTCTTAACATCCAACAGATGATTCAATGAGGACGGCTTTGTCCCATTCTAAATTGAAAGATAACATCTAAAAAGTCACAACAAGTGATCGTATAGGAGTCAGAACGTCAACTGGAAGGAGTCTTCATACATTTGTATTTCAACAAGTTGAAATGCTTGGGACAAATCTATGTTCTTGAAGACTGTCCAGAACCATGTTCAGGAACGGTTCTGGGTAGTACACGCGTATCCGAACTGTGATTAATCCAGAACTATGCTCAAACATGTTTCTAGGTAGTACACGCGTATCTAGAACTGTGCTTAATCCAGAACCATGCTCAGACACAGTTACCCAAAAGGTTAGATGGCCTCGGGCTCCTCCACGTGACTGTAGGGCGAATGGAGCAGGGGGTTGTCGGGGTCACGCAGGGACTGCGCGAAGGAGTTCACCACGATGACACCGTACACCTGCGGAATCAACAATGCCAATTAATAATCTTACTCCATCTGCAAAATAAGGCTGTATCTTTCGTGATTACACATGAACGAGTGAAGCATCAAAAATAAAAATCACATGTCACATTGGTGGGATGAGAGACTCACAGTGAGGCCTAGTGCCAGTTATTATCTCAATTATAACCCAAGCGAAAAACGTACATAATATACAAACGTGACAGCTGCAGAGTGGAGGGCCGTAGCGTGATGTTTAGAAAATAACACACTAACCAGTAGGCCACATTCAATAGCCCTCCCTGTCCACATAAACCCCAGTCTGTGTACGGCTTCGGGTCTGTTCTGAAATGAATGAAAAAAATATGGTGTATGCTACAAAAAAAAAAACACTTCAAAACATTATACATGTATTGTGCAAGTCAAGAAAATGACAGCATGTAGAAACAATGGCACACATCACCGTAAAGTTTGCTAGGTTCTAGGTTTACATGTCTATGTTTTGATAACGTTATGGCCAATCTCGAGCTCGTAAGGGAAAACTATAGAAGATATACATATGAATGTTCTGTATTTTTGTGTTTTTAATTAAATCCAAATAGTCACAAACTCACTAGATCTTTGGTGTTCACATCATAGTTCATATCAGATATCAGATCGTTGTTTGCATTAGGTATGAGGTAAATGTGCTTACTGCAGCCCGTAAGGATGAAGCGATGATAGAAATGATGATCACACCGGTAACGAAGACAGTTGTACCGTACACCCAAATCATGCAGTACATGTACTTCCCCTGTTCGAGATAAAGAAAAAGAACCTTTACTTATTGCAGAATTCTGGTGTATTTGGCATCTTTGGCAAGAGGAACTAGCCACTGGTGAGCTAGGCGCCTGTACGTACCCAAATGACACTAAGGCTTATGATTCACTTGTGGGTCATTAATTGTGATCTTTTACTTCCTACAGATAAAATAATTGGGGCAAAAAAAACGTTTGCTGACACAGTTGTATAATTATGATAGGAAAATGTACCCTTCCGGACCTTATCTACATCTAGTAACGTTACCTGCATGTTTAACTTATCAAGACAATATGCATATCGCAGATAACAAAATACAGAACATTTTCACCTTATCCTCATTTTACAAACTCCGTTGACAACAGTGTTAAATTACTACTTAATGCTGATATAATACCACACCTTGATGGCTCCAACGAGGAGGATGATACACAAGATGATCAAGACTGTATCCAGGAACAAATCTGCGATCCTGAAGGCTGTCACATGCATACAGAGGCAACTAGTGGTTAGAAACATTAAGCAAATGCATGCCTTTGATCAGTTGAATAAATCATCTTATGATCAGCCAATGAGCTTTAAAATCACACGTTTGGAATATGATCAGATGTAGTTGTTATAAGACTTAAGAGGCTGGGAATGTAACGATTAATTCAAACTAAGGTCTGAAATTGTTGTTAATAAAGACATTGATGTACTTACGGCGTAGTTCGCGTATGTCCAATGCGTGAGCAACAATGACGTAAAGTCCAAGAAGTAAGTTGATCACCTTTAAAAAAAGGTAATAACAATGCTCACATCAGCCAATCAACATAGACAATATAGGTCAGTAGATACACATGCCATTTATTTCGTTATACGTATACTCGGAAATGGTGCAATGGAAATGATCGTTATATGATTTTGTATGCGCAAAGTTACGATGTACATGATGTATATATACCATAAACACAACAGCGATGGCGATGACTCCACACTTCAGCGTACAACAGCAACAGAAGTTGTTCACCCGTGGCAGCTTCACTTCAATGGCCATGTCGATGTATGCCAGGCGTCGTCATGTAATGCTGCAACCTGAAAACTGGAATCAAAGTTGCTAACCACTCAGTTTGCTGTATTACAGGATCTAGGAGCCCTTTAAAAGGGTATTATGCAATATTTCCATTACAAAGACGGTAGTTGTCACTATAACGTACTGTACCAAAGCCTTGAGGCCTTACGTCGCAATGCCCATTCCCCAGATAATTCACAGATAAATTATGTCATAAGTGGCCTCTTCAATTGGCCATTACACACGGCAGAGTTTCTGTAATCTGCAAGCAGATTTATTCGGGGGAAGGGGACGATCAAACCGGCCACCTAAGTTACCATTTGACCCCTGTTGGGCAACGTATTGGATACTGCATTGCCAATTTGACACTCTCAGCCACCAAAAGATCTGCTTGGACTGGAGATTAGTGTTTCTAGGCATAGATAAGAAAACACAATACATACCTAGTGGACCTACCGATAAACAACACTCCTCTGATTACTAGAAACTTTGTGAGTCGATGTTGCTTGTCTCTTTTCTAGACTAAGATGGCGGAGCTATAGTGGGTACTCGGGTGTCACTACTCGGGTGTCACTTGTGGTGAACAAGGACAATAGGCTCTATCTTGGCTTACCGCCAGAAGAAACCAGTTGACTGGGCAGCGTTAGTAGGTGTTGCCTGGGGGTCATCTTATCACAATGTTTGGAATTCAGGTGTTCTCTAAAGGTGTTTACAATAGATAGCATATCTACATCGATAAAATTCATAAGCAGTGCACTAAGAATGAATGCTTTGAATCATAGTTTTATAGATGTAAAAAAGTGCATCAAAACACAGCTCTGACATTTGTACTGACATGTAATCATTAATTATAGGATGTAACACTTATTTACAGGTCACTGAACTCCAGATCTTCTGACAGCTAAAGGCCACTTGGGGATAAACTAGTTTGACTCTATATCCCAAAGTGCAAAAGGTAATGGTTCTGTGAGAGAGACACTTTTCCGTGTGAGAGACACTTTATTGCAAAAGTGACAGTTTTAAACTTTAATTTAAAATAGAAATCATAAGAGTGTGCATTATTCCGACAACTTTTACAAAACATCCATGTAGATACAAAAGACAATTATCTTATTACACATTTACCTAGAGCGAACATTTATCTTTCATACACTTGTCATCTTGTCAGTTCTTACATGTACATGTAACAGCAAGTACATGTACAGTATCAGAAAGCTGCAAAATGAACAGAATTTACAGGTAGAGAGTTTGTCACTGAAAATGTGGACTGTCTATTTTACTGATTGTCTTTTCTTGATTTCCATGTCCATATGCTATTTGTACAATAAATTGTGCAAGGAATACAAAAGTTGGCAGAGGCTCTCTTGGCAAAGATGCTTCCATGTAGTGGTGCTGTGTCAGGAAGGTGCAAATATGGAGTACCCAATGTAGAGAAGAACTAGTATCATCACTGACATCAACATGGTTCTCCTGTTCTCAGACCGCAACGTACTTAGGCTGTTTTCTGCTCGGAAAGAGAAACAATTATGCTTCACAAGTGTGAAATGAACATACGAGTTGGAAACAAGCACACAAAAGTGTACAAATATAATATGAATTCAGAAGAAAACAGTGGCATATATGGGGACTTTATTTACCGTCAAGGGATATTGTTTTTCTCAAAGTCTCTTCCTCCTCTTCCAGACTTTGCCTGAATGCAGAAAAATGAGAAGGATTAGATTTGGTAGACTTTATCAAATCAATATACATTATAGATAAGGACGTTCATATTAATAAGAAAGATTTTTTTAGATAGATGATGATGATGATGATGATGGTGATGATATGATACAAAAACAATGAGTCAGCTTTAAGGAAAAATCTCACCTTTCTTTGTCAGTCATGAACTGAAGTCTCAGGGCCCTCTCAAGTTGGTCAAGTCTTTCTCGACTTCTCTGCAGCCTATTTTCTACAACTTCAATCTGTAAAGTATCAAATAAGAAAGACACGTCATGTGTGTTCATAATCAAGGAAGTTCAATTAAATCTCATTGGTTCATTGCCTCCTGAAAGTAACTGGGTAGTTTGGGGCTATTTTCCATGTATTTGGTGTCAATTAACACAGATATAACGCCATCACGTGAATTTAAAGTAAGGAGGTTTAAACCTTCTTGAGATATTATAAAGGGAGAAAACCACCAGTATGTTATAAATGTTAACGTTATCAGATAAATGTTAAAAGTTGCCTGTTACCTGTTCAGTTATCCTGGGCGGCATCTCGGTAAGTCAGAGTGATCTGGAGTACTCTGCACAGATACGTGGAAGGAAAATCGCGAGACTGTGGTGCAGAGCTTTCTGTTTTTCTGCGAAGAAAACCGGCTTGCTTTGGAGCCTTCCTCTCAGCTGATTACAACGTGGCGGTCAAAGGTTACGGGGAAGGCGCTACATGGAGTTTATCGATATATCCTTCCTTGTGTTTCTGGTCACGATGTTTCGACCCGCACGTTTGGACGTGTCTCCTATAAACATTTATCACAATTTCGCTTGTTGTCCCATTTCATTGGTCTTTTTACCGATGTATAGTTCAAGTGTGAATAAAAACAGGTATCGATGTCGTCTGGAAACTCATGCAGACCCTCTACAGGAAAGGTCAGAGTATTATACGCATGCTCAGTCAAACAACCGGGCGGGATCGCCATTTTGATCATTTCCTCCAAATTTCGTACCCGAAAAGAAGGTCAAAATGACGGATTCCAAGTACTTCACCACCACGAAGAAGGGCGAGATCTTCGAGCTGAAGAATGAACTCAACTCGGACAAGAAGGAGAAGAAGAAGGAGGCTGTGAAGAAGGTGATCGCGTCCATGACAGTGGGGAAAGACGTCAGCGCGCTGTTTCCGGACGTGGTCAACTGTATGCAGGTTAGAGACTAAAAACAACTTTCTTCCCTTTTTACGATCTTTTCAGTGAAATTTTAGTCAACGATTATCATCAGTGATCAAGCGACGACCCATATGACCACTTATGTCGAAAAAGTATGTATAATATTGCTAGAAATGCAACAGAAAGATCGTTCTGGAAGTGCCCCCCTCCCACCCTGGACAACGCCCATTCACTGAAGCTTGGCAGGTGGTCACGAGGTAAAAAGCAAAAGGCTTAGGGGGTACACAATAACAATAATAGCAATAAATGTACATGTATGTCTGAAAAGTGAATCTTGGATGTTTTTTTATTTTTTTGAAGGCTATGCATAATTTTGATTCTGTTATTACCAGTGTTTCCGCCAGAGGGCCGTCCACCCGTCATATGACGGCCTGGTGTCGTTTTGGACGGCCTAAACTCGGACCGAGGCCGTCCTCTTAAAAAATTTCGAGACTCGGAAAAATCAGAGAAATTGACAGTCTTTGTTTTGTTCCTGTAGACGAGGACGCCGTCCAAGGCAAGAAAGACAAACGTTGTTTGTTTTGCTATTGTTATCATGCTGACGAACAATTGATGTCGGCGCCTTTCGCATACGTTAATCTCATTAAAACCCGTTTTTCAAGTCTCCATCCGGTAAAATGTATCCACAAACATTTTTTCCTCGAACAGAATCATTTCGGATGTGAGAATTCTCTTTTGGGAGTTACGTTTTTGTTTTTGTTGGTCTTGTAGCGGGCGGGTTGCATGAAAATCCACGTCGCAGTTCGCTATCCACGCCGCGGTTCGCTAACACTTCCGGCTTGCTTGAATACGCGAAAGGCACCACAAATCGGCATATTGATGCATACATTTTCCCAAAAATTCTTCATAATGAATTTCGTGGCGTGGAATGTTACTAATTAGCGGTAGAAACACCGTAAAAAGTAGCGTAGTGTAACTCTCTTCGCCAACAAACAAATTCTGCAGCTATGCCGGCAAAGATGGCTCTATCCAATCAGAGCGCAGGTCATATGAGGTCAACCAATCAGAGTGTAGAGTTCACGCTGCTACTTACATATTAATGACAAAATGGCGCGTATTTCCTTCTCTCCGGCGAGGTTGAGAATGTGTGCTGCGAGTTCATTTTTCCGGCGATTTTGTGACTTTTAACGCCGATTTTTCGCACGCTACGATCACGCTACCATTTGACACTGTACTGGAGACAACAAATGAGTGATCATTTTACAATCAAGGAGCATTTCTGTTGAATGAAACAGCAACGAAAGCTACGATACAGCCAATTATTTTTCAAAATTTGTCTCGTGTATGAGAGATAAGATGACGTTTCTTTACATATTTGACGTATTTTTGGTTTGATATTAACTAGTAATTCGTAGCGGAAATGTACGGAAGAAGTACGAGTACGAACGAAGCAAGGCTCTTCACTATTAAAGATCCGGCTAGCGCGGACGCTACCGGAGGTTATAATTAAATGATGCCGATGTTTGGAGTTTTGCAGCAGAGTTTTGCAACAGTATAATTTCCTGACGATACGTTTGCCATCTGTAAGTGTTTTTATGTCAATACAAAAAAATGTGAAATGCTTGTGGACAGTTTCAACTTGTAAACAAGTGTAAACAAATGCCCCGCCCCCTCAGTTAATTTTCGCGACGTGTTCCCTAAGTTAATTAATTTTCGCGACCCGGCCCTTCCCAACTGGACGGCCTCTCAGCTGCAGTCTGGCGGAAACACTGGTTATTACTGTAGCTTTTATAATGCTATCAGGTCATTTCAAGGGTCAGTGAATTCATCTACTTTGATGACATGCTTAAGGGCAACGTTCATTATTCTACATGTATGTGTCAATTCTGATCCAGACAGATAACCTCGAACTGAAGATGGTGTTTAGATATTGCACACAATAATGAGAAAATAGAAGATTTTTTTAAAATTTATTTTGTGAAGTTTAACATGCTTGTGTCAAAAATATTAGTTAATTTTATTGCTGTACCCAGACGGATAACCTTGAACTGAAGAAGCTGGTGTATCTGTACCTGATGAACTACGCCAAGAGTCAGCCTGACATGGCCATCATGGCCGTCAACACGTTTGTGAAGGATTGCGAGGACACCAACCCACTCATCCGCGCCCTGGCCGTGCGGACCATGGGCTGTATCCGTGTGGACAAGATCACCGAGTACCTGTGTGAACCACTCAGGAAATGTCTGAAGGTACAAATGGGACATAGGACGCAGGGCTCTAGCCAGCTCAATTTTTTTCCGTCAGACCAGGTTCATCATCAGACCTGGGGGGAAAGTGCTTGCAATTTAGGGGGGTACAGGGGGCAAATTTAGATTTTCAAGCCTTTGAAAACAAAATTTCCCACATTTTGAAAGGCAAATCATGGGATTGACAGTAACTGTTGTTGGTCCTTTAGCTGTTTTTTTTATTATAAGTAAATTTTGTAAATTTGTAAATTTTGTCCTTCAAGGTTGATGGATTGGCCTACAATTTTTTCCGTCACACACAGAAAAATTTCTGCAATTGATGGAAAAACTGGCTGGAGCGTTGCATGTACCTCACGTAATCTTACCATCACTCCACACTTAACTTTGATTCTACTCAATTAATTACTGCAAAGAAGCCACAGGCATGAATGAAAGAAGTAAACAATGTTGTGCAAAATGTAGATAGGAAAAAAGCAGAACAGCAATGTAAAGAAATTAGAACAGATCTAAAAGAATTCACATAACACAGCTTTAGGCCACACCAATATAATTTCTTGGTTAACGGATTCGCCGCTTCATTTTTTTCTGATTTGCAAATAAAAATAAAAATTCAGAATCAACTGCAAAATGCTCATATGTTGCCCTGAACAGTTGAAAACAGTCCCTTTCTTACTACTTGTTACAGTTATTCCATCTCCTCAATGCAGTAGTATCATTAAAGTCCAAAATTCATTGTTTAAATTTTGAACCAGCCTGGTGTGTTGACTTGTACATGGCTCCCATCGTACCATTTTGGGCCATAATAGGATGCCTAGGCCTGTTTTTATTTTTATTTTTTTTTCGCCCGCCCGCTCCATTATTTTTCTAGAAAAATCCGTTAACCAAGAAATTAAATTGGTGTGGCCTTATGCAGTTCTTTCTGCTACATCCATGAAGGATAACTTGTTTCCACATTGTGAATATAAAATTGTTTTAAGTAATACTACTACTCTAGTCTTCCTACCATGAGTATATATACAGACACCTTGCTTACTGTCCCACCACTGTTTGATACAGGATGAGGATCCCTATGTGCGTAAGACAGCGGCAGTGTGTGTGGCTAAGCTTCACGACATCAACGCCCAACTTGTGGAGGACCAGGGTTTCTTGGACCAGCTCCGTGAACTCCTGTCTGACTCCAACCCTATGGTAAGCTGGGAATTCATCAGAACTAACAAACTTACAAATCTGTTTTATAGTGAACTTTTACATCTCTTTCATGGCTGGGACCATAAGGCCTTGGAAAAAGAATGTTGTGTTTCCTGCTTCCCAACCGACCCTTGAAAAAACTGCCGACCGTAGCCTTTTTAGTTGGGTGAACCCCTGCAAGGGACATAAATTTTTCAACCTTAACGACCTTTTCTAGCTCCATGACCTGACACCTGAGTGATAAAACGTTGTACAATCGGTTTTCCAATATTGACATTGAAAATCAATATGAGTGTCCTCAAGCAAGTTTTACTTTGTTAAACTGTATTGTATAAGTTAGATCACTAGAGATCGCCAAAGACTAATGAAAAAACGAAAGAAAAGAAAGATAATCCCTACCTACCGACCCTAATTTTTTCAGGACTGAAACAGAAAACACAACATATTTTTCCTAGGCCTAAGCATGAGACCTAATATGAGGTATGACTATGAGTGCAGATTTTACCTCTACTGTTAGAGGGTTATCTAAGGTTGTTATGTGTATCACCAGGTTGTGGCCAATGCGGTGGCTGCGCTCTCTGAGATCAGTGACACTTCTCCCAGCCCTGCCGCCCAGATGGAGATGAATCAGCAGACCATCAATAAGCTGCTAGCTGCCCTGAACGAGTGCACTGAATGGGGACAGATTTTCATTCTTGATGCCCTGTCCAACTATGTTCCCAAGGTAAGTCGCTCAGTTAGAGGACACAAAATTATTATGACATACATGTGTGTATTTCTGTTTTTTTTTATTCACTTTTAAGTAACCCCTTACCAGTAGTCCATCTTGTTTAGCATTGATCCTGATTACATGTTAGTAACATTTATGATGTTGTTTTTCAAAGTAAACTGTTAGTTACATGTGTTTGTACATGTCCTCAATGGTTGTTTTTTGTCTATTCCACAGGATGATCGGGAGGCCCAGAGCATCTGTGAACGTGTCACTCCCCGTCTGGCACATTCCAATGCAGGTATGATTCTTCAAAACCTTCATATCAATGTTAAAAGTAGCTATACATGATAGTAATGCACAAAATATTGTGATATAGATCATTTGAATCCCAAAGTAATGATTGAAAAATTTCACATTTATGCTCTACCATGTAGCTGGAATGTGGCAAAGCCTGCCTACAAGTGTAACCTAAGTGATGGGCACGGCCATATGTTTGTATGATATACCGCTATGATGAAATGAAGAGGTGCATTAACATAATTTGTAAATGGAAAAATGTGCAGAACTGAAAATAAACATGAACTAAAAAGGTAACATTTGCAAAGCAAATGCATAATGTTTACCTTCGCATATGGTCTTCTCTGTTAATTCTTACTCAAACACACTCTTATATATGGTGACAGCAGTCTAAATCCCTCCTGCTATAAAATTGCAACATGATATAACCCAACACTAGTTACCATGGTGACAGACGTCTGGTTCATGTCATTGACCATATTTGTTTGGAGAAGAAGAAACAGCAAAAACAGTATGTTTGCCTTCGGTAAACATAACCAGTTGATGCAGGGTACTACATGTACAAGTCCTGTTGTATCTGTTGCTAGGTGTGGTCCTGTCAGCAGTGAAGGTCCTGATGAAGGGGATGGAGTATGTGGGGATGGAGAGTGAGTTTGTCACTACACTACAGAAGAAGCTGGCTCCTCCACTCGTCACTCTCTTGTCTTCCGAACCAGAGGTCCAGTATGTGGCCTTGAGGAACATCAACCTCATTGTTCAGAAAAGGTACCGGTATTTTCTTTGTTTCAGAGCTGAATGGACCAATCCTATACTGTAGTTGAAACATAAAAATGCCAAAAATTTGACTGACATGCAGCCACATTGCTCAAACTGCTAATTGCCATGTTATCATTGGTTGAACTTAAATTGTAATTGTAATGGACAGTCAGAATTGGTGCATAATTATATGCATTATAACTAATAAAAATTAAGAGTTTCCTTATGTATGTTTGCATTCAAATGGTGGTCAATGCTTAAAGTGTTCTAAGTGTGAGTGGCAGCTATTTTCTGTTGTTTTCATTGTGATGCCCCACTTGGTCTACCATTTTCTATGCAAGAGAAAAGGAATCTTTGATAAATATAGATTAAAGAGAAGATAGTGTTTTTAACATGTTGCTTGCACTTTGTCTGTAGACCTGACATCCTGAAGCACGAGATGAAGGTGTTCTTTGTGAAGTACAACGACCCCATCTACGTCAAACTGGAGAAACTGGACATCATGATCCGCCTGGCCACTCAGGAGAACATCGCACAGGTCAGGGGTCACGTGTCCTTATTAGGAGTTTGCAGTGGACAGAAATATTACCAGACAGATTGAGAAGATGTAGCATACAAAATGATTACTGGTAGTTCCTCGGGCTGAATTGATAGGAGTGGTAAGGCTTGAATTTCTTAGCACATATTTGACATGTGTCTCCAGAGCTCAAAATACCACCTACATATGCAGGTTAGTGCAGGAAAAATTGAAGCTGTGCCTAATTTTTAATGTCTACGTGCACCAGTCTATTTATATATACATGTATGTGTATGTAGGTTTTTATTTGCTGCATTGACTGTTTCTGAACAGTTTTAGTATGATCTATAAATGATGAGTGTTGCAGGTAAATTTATCTGATACGGGTAATTTTCAATGTGAAAGTACTTCGAGCCCTGGTCTCCCCTTACAGAAAACAGCTAACATGATTCCTTACTCAGGTTCTTGCTGAGCTGAAGGAGTATGCCACAGAAGTGGACGTGGACTTCGTGCGGAAGTCAGTGCGGGCTATCGGGCGCTGCGCCATCAAGGTGGAGCAAGCAGCAGAGAGATGTGTATCAACACTGCTGGACCTCATCCAGACTAAGGTAGTAACGGCACATCCTATACTACTTTACTCTTGTGTTGAAAATACACCTAAATTTTACATGTACATTTATTCGTGTTGCTTGTTAGCACTGACTGAAAATGTTCTTGATGGCCTTTCCTTGATAAAGGTGTCATTCAAATACCCTGGTTTATTGTTTAAAAGAACTCCATAAGTGACAGAACACATATATATGACTTCACTACTCTTGCTGGAGTCTTAAAATGTAACATACACATAACATTAAGAATTCTGACATACACATTACATTAGGTTGGTAACCTTAACTAGGAAAGTGTTGTTTTCTTAACAGGTGAACTATGTGGTCCAGGAGGCCATTGTCGTCATTAAGGATATCTTCCGCAAATATCCCAACAAGTACGAGAGCATCATCTCCACACTGTGTGAGAACCTGGAAAGTCTAGGTAGGGGTGAAGAAACCTGCTAGAGCAGAAAAATAATACAGTCAAACCTGTACAAGTGATCACCTTTTCATCAGGACCACCTGGCAATTTTTGGTGGTCCCTGAAGTAATTTCTCCTATACAGTAACACATAAGCATTGCAAATCCTGTCTAGGGTGACCACCTGTCCACATAGACCAGATTTTATTGGTCCCCTCCCCTAAGTTGTCTTGGGCAGTTTTGACTGTAATTTATGGATACCTTGGGTTTAACCTATACTACAAATTTTCTTTTACTGACAAAAGTAACATGACAGCTTACCTAGCATTCCCTGTTGTAAAACAATTTGCTATTATGTAGATTGTATAGTTATTTTGTACCCTGTTTCAATGTTCTTTTGTCCATGTTATTTGCAATAATCCTTTGGGCATAAATCTGCAATAAACTTAGTATTACCAAGGGTTTTGTGTTCGAAAGTGTTCATAATTATTGAACTTTCCACATCCTGTTTTAGATGAGCCTGATGCACGTGCATCCATGATCTGGATTGTGGGTGAATATGCTGAGCGGATTGACAATGCAGATGAGTTACTGGAGAGCTTCCTGGAGGGATTCCATGATGAAAGCACCCAGGTAACATTTTATTTTTAGATTACTTTCTTTTGTCTAAGGATTGCTCAAAATCCATACACAGGGCTGCTAGCAGGTGCAGTTCCTCATATGGTCTCTAGATGTCTCTACATGTTGACATATACATTGCAAGTACACTCAGACTTTCCTGTATGGCACAATATACCATTTCCTGTTGTGCTTCTGAAATGCTTCTCTCAAGCTCTTATTCTGCTGCTCAAGTGCCTCTTAATCTTTACCATTGTTTGACAACAGCTTTCTTGTTCATCTGTCAATTTACAATTTCAGCCACTATTTCCAACTACATTCTGTATATTATGCTACAGCATATTGTCACCATTACATTCCTGTTCTAAATCAATTTTTTTATAGCAGGGTATTGTCATCATCATATTTTGGTTCTTCTTTATGCTGTTAAGTGTATTGTTTCTCTTGTAGACTTCTTGTTCAGTTCTCATGTCGCTGTCTGCCCCCCCCCCCCACACAGGTACAGCTACAGCTGCTGACAGCCATAGTGAAGCTGTTCCTGAAGAAGCCCACAGAGAACCAGGAACTGGTACAGCAGGTGCTGAGCCTGCTGTACCCTTTTTTGTTCAGTTCTCATGTTGCTGTCTGCCCCCCTCCCACAGGTACAGCTGCAGCTGCTGACAGCCATAGTGAAGCTGTTCCTGAAGAAGCCCACGGAGACCCAGGAGCTGGTACAGCAGGTGCTGAGCCTGGCCACCCAGGACAGCGACAACCCCGACCTGCGCGACCGCGGCTACATCTACTGGCGCCTGCTGTCCACCGACCCTGCCGCCGCCAAGGAGGTCGTTCTTGCCGAGAAGCCGCTCATTTCATCAGAGACAGACCGGCTGGAACCAACACTGCTGGATGAACTCATCTGTTACATCGCCAGGTGAGGCAAAATCTGTTTCTACAATATATAATAGTATATCTTTATACATAGGAATTTGGGTAATACTTAGGACTTTTTACAATACTTACATGTAGGACCTGCACTTTCTGCTAGAAAACTTTGACAAACATCTATCCATTTTTTTAGCAATTAACCATATACTAGTACAATTCTGTAAAACAGTTCTGTCAAGAAATTTGTTTATAGCACTTACAGTTTTCTCGATGCTTTTTATATGATGATGTAAAAAGTTTGGCATAAAACTCAATGCTTGTAACATGAAGATTAATACAAGTATTTTGAAATTTCCAGTCCACATGTATGTAGCTCTAGCAACATACATGTAATTAAACATCTTCATCTTTTGACTGTAAAAGTCACCATTCACCTCTGCCCTCCCCACAGTTTGGCATCAGTCTACCACAAGCCTCCGAGTGCGTTTGTGGAAGGACAGGCCCTCGTGGTTCGTAAGACCCAGCTGCCCGTACGGTCAGCGTCCGGAGAGCCCGGCGCCACCGGCGCGACCGAGAGTCCCGTACCACAGCAGGTACAGCCAGCACAGCAGCAACAGTCTGTCATCCCCAGTCATGACACAGCCATGGGAGATCTGCTGGGTAAGAGACAGACATGCTCATTGGTTAATCTGTATCTCAGGAGCAAGTTGCAACTAATCGATTATCTTGTTACAACACACAGTATTTTCTGCACCATTTTAAGTTGAAGTAGCAACAGATATGTAGTAAAAGTGCAACGTATGTAGTAGAATGGTTTATTTCTCATAAATGACATCCTAGGCTTATTTACATAGAATACATGTACATAGGCACATTGTGTATACATATACAGACACATTGCATTTCCATTAGTACTCACCATTTCTATTCGCAGAATGTCTAAAATGTCTTAATGGTATAATACCTTCAAACTTGAATTGTCTGTGCCATGTTTAAAAACAATATAAGGGTCCAGTTTTTTGTATTAACATTTACATGTAGCTAGCTGTGACGTCAGGATGTTAATTGAACTGACATTATGCAATCACAGGATGAAAAATAAGACAACAATAGAGTCGTCTTGTGTGTATATTTTTCAGGTGACCTGTTATCTATGGACCTGAACCCTCCACAACAACAGATGTCCATGACACCAGCACCCCAGCAGGACATGGGAGGAATGGACCTTCTTGGCGGAGGTTTGGACAGCTTGTTGGGCGGCCCCAGTCCCGTGGCAGGAATGCCCGCGTCACAGGCCTCCATGGGTGGGGGCTTGGGCGACATTCTTGGTCTTGGTGAGTGGGTATTTAACCCTTAGTCTGCTAAGGTATTTGGCACCAAATTTGTAGGAATGAATGAATGAAAGGTTTACTTCTGTAAAACATTGCAGCCGTCTGGCTGAAATACATTTCACTTACATACAACTCACTTCCACAGATAACTTAAGATATTTCACAATGAAATATAAAATATTAATGTCATTTGTTCATTTGTATTGGTTAATGTATTGCTACATGTACATACATGTAGGCAGTGATTAAAGAGTCAAACTGAAAGGGTTCTACCCTGGATCCATACTGATAGTTTTTCCATGTGCTGGTGACACAATGTTCCAAATTATAAGCTTAGAAAAGTGTATTTTGTAGTTTGGACTTTTCGGCTGGTAGGTGAGAAAATTATTCCATTTTTTCTGCCAAAAGTCATATGAAAATGGTTTCTAAGATAGGGTATTTTTTTAGGTTTGTAACAGTTAGAGGAATCACTTTGCTCTGCAGGAATTTCCAGTACAACTTACGTGCCACCAAAACAAGTATGGCTGCCGGCCTCCAAGGCTAAAGGACTGGAAGTATCAGGAACATTCTCCATCAGACAGAACGTGCGCTACATGGACCTGACTTTGAAGAACAACGCCATGGCACCTATGGGCGACTTTGCCATCCAATTCAACAAAAACAGGTCAGACAAAATCACATCTTCCAGAATTTCTTGGTGGCATTTTTTTACACAATATTTTTCAATAATTTCATGTCTTAATCAGGTCATAGACTCCTGACTTTTTTGCCCTGTGGTGGTGTAGTTACTTCTGCATTCATTGTGTTTCACTGTGGTGTGATACGTTGCACGAGAAATACCCCCAAATCGTACCTATACAGGGTGCTATATGGATGGTACTGTATGTGCAACCCAACAATTGTTGGGCCCTGCAGGACTAGGGTTTAAAAGTATTCATATATTTGTAGCACATATATATTTATAACCTGTACAATGTTGAAATTTGTCGTGTGTAACAATTTTTGTTCTGTTGTCCACCAGTTTCGGCCTGTCCCCAGCCTCTGCCCTCCAAGTCCCGTCCCCCCTGAGTCCAGGCCAGACTGCTGACGTGACCCTCCCCCTGGGTACAAATGGACCGGTCCAGAAGATGGACCCCCTCATGAACCTCCAGGTGGCCATGAAGAACAACATCGACGTGTTCTACTTCTCCTGTCTCATCCCTATACACCTGCTCTTCACAGAGGACGGACAAATGGGTTAGTACTTTTGTTATCACCATTTCTTTCCCTGGGTTGTTTTCAATAAACTATGATAAGTCCTTCAGAGATGACAGACTGAGCATTAAAATTGTGTTGTAAAAATGTATTCTGTAAGTGAGGTATATCATTTGATTGAGCAACTTGTTCTCTAGCAAACTATGCTGGGGTTTACTTAGCAACCACTCCCTAAACTACTGAGATCATAAACATTGTCAAGGATATGAAACAGACAGTTATCAAAAAGAACAGTTTAGATCTGTGTTCAGCAGTATTGCTGTAGCATTTCAGTATCTGCTATCAACTATTTTTTAGTTGTTTGGATCTTAAAAAACTGTTGATTATGAAGCTGGAAGACATTTGTTGTTACTTGCATGTTTGTTGCGCTTAATGTATGCTACTGTCTAATGCTTGCAACTCTTTCTCTTCGGTTAACAGATTATGCTAATCAGAGTAAGTTGGTGTTGTTTTTCCATTAAAAAAAACAATAACAGTGCCCTTCAAGTTTTTCTTTTGCTTTTTGAATCCTTGTACTGTTTTTGCTATTCACTTTTTGCTGTTATTTTTGGCATGCTTGTGTGTTTTCTATGACTGTTGTAATGTGATGTTGCATGTTCCTTGTTTCTGAAACTTTTCCTACCTTCCAAACAACTGGTAAGTACATGTATTCAGCTTGATTTTGAAGAGTAGGCCCCTTCTTTGGTAGAAAACATGTAAGTTGTAGCTTCAATCAGAATACAGTCACTTAAACACTTTGTAGGTTGCATTGTATGAATCACGTAGTATCTTTTTTTCCTACCAAAGGGCACTTACATGTAGACAAGGATTTAAAATAGTTGTGATCAAGCATAGCTTGTCGCTCCATGTTGAACACAAAATTGATGTGTTCTGTTCTTCCTGAAAGTTCATCATTTTCAAGCACATCAAAAATAATTATCCATAAAAACATTTTGCCCCATTAGACCTACATACAGTACCTACATCAATTTGGATTGTTGAGTAAGCTGCTTTTTGCAAGTCGAACATCAAGGATTTCAGTCTAAGCTTGTGTTCAGATTATCTAGAGAATGAAAAATTAGACATTCAAGAAAATTTCAGACCATTCCGTAACTATCCTTCCTAACACAAAATACAGTAACTGTTTTGTCCATTTTGTATAATCACAACTCACATCTGACCACTTACATGTAAAACTGTAACATTTTTTTTTCTAACCAGAGCATATTGTTCAGGAAAATTTCCTCTTCTATAACATCTGTCAAACTTCTATGTACAGTTGAACATGAAATGACCAGTGCTAAGAGAGCTAACCCCTGCTGACCCCTGCTATGCTTCTCTTCCCTCAGTAGCCATTGTTGTGTTCCCATGTTGCATGTCTAATTGTTTTTTGCTTACTCCACATATGGCGGATCCCAATGTCACAGGATCAGCATCAGGTCATTCAAACCTTCCTTTCTACCCTTCGTAGATAGAAAACTTCAACACTGTCTAAAAAAAAGAGTTGTAGAATAGCTTAGAATCAGAAAAGTGTAATCATGGTCTTAGAATAGAACATGGAAATTTTGCAATTATCATTGTAAAAGTGAATTGTATGAACTCATTCCCTCAGTGAGTGAAATATTGAGTTATTTGACCAATCAATCCCGAAATGTTATTATGTGTAAGTCATCAAATTGAATTACATTGGTTCTATCTACATGTACTATGTAGATTGTGTTAATGTAACATGGGGTTTTTGTAGTTTAGATAGTCTTATTCCAGTACAGAAGATGATCTGTGAGCTGTCTTACCCATCTTTCAATGTCATTAATATAGTACAATGTAGGTAGGTCTTCACATGTGCTGGTAGACTTGTTAACAACTCCATTTCTTCTTGTAATACTTACTAACATGTCCATATTTCTACTTCAGCAAATTGGGTATCTATATAAAGGTTTTAACATGGTTGCACAGCAGTGTTACTTGCCATGCATAATTTTTTTGCATGGAATATGATGCGTGATAAAAAGAAAGACGATTTAAAAGACATTACTTACTACTTACTTAAAAAAGACATACAAAACGTAAAAAGATTTGTTCTTCTAATGAACTTTGTTGTGTGATCTGTCAAATGTTTGGTTGCTCAATGGCTGCTCAGAGGTTGCAGCCTAATTTGCAGCGGGGGGGGTGATAAGAAGATTGTTTCACTTGCGTCATTCCACAAGTGGATTACCTAGGTTATTACTAATATTAGTCTCATCAGATCATAAGGCTGAAGAGGTTTAAGAAGCTAAGGTGTAAATCCCAAAAGAATTTCTTTGTGTTATCTGGTTTGAAAGACCCTTCTTAGTATGGTAGTATGAAATTGCCTTTCATAAAACAGCACTGGTTTGTAAACTAATGTGATATGGACTTTGTAATAGATGCATATCAATCAATCAATCAAAAATGGTTTATTGCTAAAAAAATCATGAACATTGCATCAGAAAGCTGAATTGCGTTCAAAGATGTACAATCATTTTAAAAACGTTAACAACTACACAATCTCGGAGTCAAATTGTCGTAGTAGAATTGCACATTGAAAAATATTTATGACGTACATTTAGCATAGTGAAATTCAAATTTTGCTCATCTCATTCACATTTGTACTTAACATATAAAGATTACATTAAACTAATTCATATAAAAATTGCACAAGATATATCAGAGACATTTAGTAATTTACAGAGTAAGAGCAAAATCATTTTGTTTCGTTCAACAGTCTTAAGAGGGACAGTAAAGGGCTGTTGTTACATCTTGTTGTACGTGTGACCAGGAGAGGAATATTTACCATCTACATGGTGCACTTTAACATACATGGGACAACTGTACATGTCTTAATGCAGTGTACTTCCTGGGATGAGGGTCAACATTATTACCTTCACCAAGAAGGTTGTTTTATTGTGATAAATGTTTATATTGTGATACATGTGATACTCTGCAGCAAGCTTATCAACAAGATCTTTGCGCTGCTACCATTCTGCAAAATTGTTTACACCCATTTTTTTTCCTTTTACTAAATGCAATGTGCTTATTTATTTTTGTACTGCCATAACCAAACATGCATTAAACAAAGAAATAAGTCAGTCATTGCTGATACTGATAGTTTTAGCCAGATGATAGTTAACAACCAATGCCTTCCTGTCATTATGCAAGGAAAAGCCTCAGGTTTCTTCCAGAAGAGAATGTATTCTCTGTGTTCCTTGGTCAGCTTCTAGTCCATTAAATGTTGTATGCACATCTTATACAATACTTTGGTAAGATGAAATAATCAGCCAGCACACCCATCAAATACACAACTACGATTTAATTTTGATTCCCCCTTTCCTGCTGATTTACCTGTACATGTACACATGTATGCTAAGATCACCATACCATAGATGAGGCCCCAGCAAGGAGAGGGTTAATCGCAGAAACTTTCAGTTTCCTCTGACTGTGTGAGGTTAAACATGGGTGATCATTAGGGTTGGGAGCACGTCGGCAGAACGTACTGCGCCTGTGCATAACCCTGATTTTTCACGGTTTTCGTTGGATTTTTGGTCAATGTTGCATTAGAATTTTCCCTGTTGCAGACTATATCTTTTCCAACACAACATTTGGAAACTACAGATGGAGTGTTAACCTTATATGCACAAATACAACCTTATATGAGATGTTCTGCCATAGTACTATGTACAATGTATTACGGGATTCGCGCAGGTGCAGTACATTCTGCCGACGTGCTAGGGTTGGGGATGTTGAGACATAATATATAGAGGGATACATGTAGAATTTTGTCCTGGTATCTTTTTTTTTGTATTTCAGGTGGCAACTGCCTGGCAAATGGATACTGCCTGACCAATTTGAAATTTTGATACTGTGTTTTCAGCCACCAAAAGGTCTGCTTGGAAATTAAGTGTGTCTTTGTTTTTACTTCAGATCGAAAAGTGTTCCTGGCCACGTGGAAAGACATTCCGGACTCCAATGAAGTGCAGAAGGAGGTTGCCAACCCTAACCAGCTGGATCCTAAGGGCCTGTCAGACAAGCTTCAGCAGAGTTTCATCTTCACCATCGCACAGAGAAACGTGGATGGCAGAGACATGCTGTACCAGTCTCTCAAGGTAGGAGCTATGTCCCTGTCCTTGGGACTTGAAATAAATTTTAAGAAGTCACGTAGGATTACTTAGAGAATGAAATCATGTGCTATTTTGGGACAATCACAGACATATAATAATGATTTATAAAATGCAGAGGCAGTTATTTTTCTACTGCATGATAGCAATTCCTATTATAATTATCGTATTAAAGAACTTGCTGTGTATTATTACTAGAGTGCTGGAGGCTGCAACTTCAATTAAAACCACAAATACATGGCTAGTTGGTCCTGATTGTGAAGCATACATGTTTTGCCGCAAGCTGGTTTTGCATTACTTTGATCCAAGGCATGTGCAAAATTTGAATCTGGAACTGGCTGATTATTAACTTTCATGTATCAATCACACACAAATGAGCAGAGTAAATGAGGGAGTTAATAGATAGCAAAGATGTTACAGGCCCTTAGGAGTGACTGGGTCTTGTCTCCAAGGGTTTCATGAGTCCTTTCAAACAGGAAAAACATCTGACATCTGTCAGTTGTTCACCACATGATGGTAACTTCCATGGACAAGTGGCTATTTTGGATCCTGTGTCGTGATATCAAAAGCAGTGAAGCCCAAAATTACAGACATGTTTGCTTTAATGCTAATGATACTCATTAAATCATTAAAGGTTAGACTGGTCAATTTTACGTAAAATACCAGGGTATGGGGATGTACTGTGTGCCATATACATTTAGTAGTTCTTGGTTGTGGTTTATTTCCTTCAGCAAGGTTTTGTTTTCAGGTCCATGTTTGTGTTTATTAATGTCAAAACTCAAGAACCTATCAATAGATTGTAACGATAATTGATATACCAGTAAGTGTCAGCAAACTAAAGGTCGTGTTTTTTTTTTTCAGCTGACCAACGGGATCTGGGTTCTGGCAGAACTGAAAATCCAGCCGAGAAGTCCAACTATGACCCTGTCTCTGAAGACACGAGCCTTGGACGTCATTCCTCATGTGCAACAGGCTTACGAACTCATCATAGCAAATATGTGAAACTAAACATGAAGTCCCAGAGCTGGGCAAAACATTATGAGCTGTCTTCATTAGATTGAAATGTTAGTCATATGTGTAATTAGTCATGCATTTAGAGGGGTCAAAATTTACTATCCCTTTCAAAATGGCACTATGGTTGGGCACATCCACTTTTAGTACTTGAGGGGGGGGGTCTGGACTGACTTTATTTTGGGATGTTTCACAAATTCTTTCTCATGTTCAGGATTGTCCTACTTGATGATGACGTTATACAACTTATTAATATTCATCAAAGCCACCTTTCTTTGATTTTAGAACAAAAATAAAGCACACCCCATGCTTTTCCAAATAAACTAGTCCACAGAGAGCAAACATATATAACCTTGATGTATGAGACAGATTGTAAAAAAAATGTGGATACTGTAACGTGATTGGTCATAGGAAAACAGAAATAGAATGTTGATTGTCTCGAATCAGATACGAACAACTGTAGTGTCAGATGTGTGCAAAGTGCACATTATGTACTCGCTGTGGAATCAGTATATTAAAGAGCAATTCTACATCAAAGTAACTGTTTTTGCCTTTAAATAATTAATTTCATTTGATATAGCTATCATGATAACTTTACCTGAAATAAATCATCAGTATTGAAAACAACACACATTTTGTGAAACTTTGCTTTTTAGGCCACACCAATTTAATTTGTTGGTTCTCGGATTTTTTCTGAAAAAATATGAAGCGACAGCGCGAAAAAAAACAAAAGAGGTCTAGGCATCCTATTATAGGCTTAAATGCTACGAAATGAGCCATGAAGTCAACACAAAAGGCTGGGTTAAAATTTAAAATGAACTTTTAATCAAACCACTGTAATGATAGATGGGAAAACTGTAACAACTAGGAAGAAAAGGACTTTCCTCAACTGTTGGGGGCAAAATATGAGCATATTTGAGTTGATGCAGAACCAGAATCATATATATTTTTTTTTTTTTGCAAATCAGAAAAAAACGAAGAGGCGAATCCGAGAACCAACAAATTAAATTGGTGTGGCCTTATGTTACTTAACTCTACACTTGCTATAGCACAAGAAGTTTTTCAAATCCTTCAGATAGTTGTCTACTCACCTAGTCTTACCTTCAAAACAGGAAATATGCTCATCAAAATAAGTGCAAAGCGAAGAGCCATACAGTGTACTTTCTAGTGCTCCTGAGAATTTAGATATAACTCAGTGCAAAGATACTGCTTGAAAAGCGCAGGCTACTCTTGCTTCGTATTGCACAAGGCACCATCTTGTTTTACTCTAAGGCCATGTTGATTTGATTATATGGATGACATCCGCGCGCGCATGGATTTTCGGCTGTTTCAAAAAAAAAAGTTTTCAACTATACTGTAAATCGTACAAAACAGTTGCAAAATGAGCAAAAATATACCGTAAGTTAAAAAAATGAATAGATAAAAACTATACCAATGTCGTAGAATGCCAAAATCAAACAAAAAAATACGAAATCGTAAAGAAATGAACTTGAAAACTAGATTATTCGCCAAACCATATTCTGTCCCATTTGTTCAACCCTCATGACCACGTAGATTTCATAATGAAAACTAACTTTTTTTTTGCAAAACTTTTTTTATTCGCACGCGCGCATCAGTTTTGGGGCTCCCGGAGGATGTCATCCATATAATCAAATCAACATGGCCTAATGTAATGCGTTACTATGGTTACTGTATCTATTAGTCCCATGGGAGCGCACGAACCGCACCGACTCCCAGTGTGGTGTCAATTAGCTTGAGTCGTCAGACAGGTGCACTCACTGTCTACATTTCCTATTCACGGAGAGAAAACAAACGTCGGTCCCTTTGGGGTTGAGGTGTGCTTTACTTGCATCCTTCCCAGCCATGGGTTCCTTCGCTTCGAGGTCCTGTGCCGAAATAAACGTCACCACGCCAGAAGTCAAAGTGACGGAGAATTTTTCCCGCGTGGTGTCCCATTCCGCACAAAATGGAGGCAAAGGATCGAGCCAACGGAAGTTCTTCAAACAGTACGGGCCGTTGTGAGTACATCTTCCGTTGATGTTTTTCTAACAACAAAAGACTATCGGAGAATTATCGTGTTTTCATACAGAATTCATCAAGGGTTTTAGTGCGGACAACAACGTTGTCAATCATCTATAGTGAGCTATGTTTATAGAGGGCAATACACCTATGCCATTGCTGCATTATTAAAACAAATAGAGCCACATGTACCTTAAACATAAGCCTGTATCCTGTGGGGGGCGCCCGCCCGTACGTACTTGGTGTGTCCCCGGTAGCTCGACAACGTCCCAACCGGGAGGTGCGAACAGTCTGGAGGGGACGGCATCTCTAAATCCACCGCCCACCGCAGAAGGCTGGCCCCCAGGTGCCATGTACGAGGAAATGAACGCCGTGTGCAAGTATAGCACGGCAGGAAATGACCGGTTTTACTCCTTTTGTTAATTTGTTCCCAGCCGAGATTGCATGCCATGGAAACATAAGGAAGCAGGGGGGTTACAAATGTATGCTCTACGAGTATTATTTACGATTTCGTGCTGTCTTATACACTGTAGCCCGTACGGATTTCAGGGTTTAGAATATGTTTATTTCTACCTACTGTAGAACCACTGCAATTCTAGCTGGCTATACGGCTATTAGACAAAAGAGACTGCCGCTGTACAACGTTTGTTATCATTCAAAACAGTTGGATATTTAAAAAATCTCGAGGGAGAAAAAAATGATCCTAGACATTGTCTGCAGTGTATCAGATTCTATGTCTGACACATATAAATTTGAATAAGAACAGTGTCATCGCCACTCATAATGCTCCGATCGGATAATGTGCCACGCGCAATTTCTTTACCTTGTGAACACAGGTAGTGCAAGGTTCTTAGAATGTTGATTGAACGTTCTTGGTCAAAACTTCCTGTTTACGAACAAACCACGTGTTGAATTTGCTTAGTCACGCGTGTTGATTTCTTAAAGAGTGTGCAGACAGCTAGGTTAGGTCTTTACTCTGTGAAACAGCGTACAAAAATAAAGTTGCAAATGCAAAAGAAAATCTATATTCTGATTTTCATGAAATGCTTTGTATATAGTAAAAATTTTGCACAATTGTAAGCTTGCTTATAGCTGCATTTAACTTGAAATTTTCACATCTACCTAATGTTTGTTTTTATTACTAATATGAAAACCGTGGTGATGTGGAGTGGGGTAGTAAATATCCGTGTTCCTATACAAATTTGCACTACCATCCACTGTCGTTATTATACGTGCTTTAAACCACATGTCGCATGGAGCACTAGGTACATGTGTAAGATAAATAAAAATTTGTTATTGCTTGCTATATCTAAAACATGTGCTTCAAAATCATCATTAGACAAAATAGTGTCTCGCACATTTCAGCTGCGAGGTCGCATTTAATGAAGGTTCACAATGACGTTGCAAAACCCAGTGGTATTTGTCCTTGGTGCTGAATTTCTGTTAAATGAGTGGTTGTGCCATGATGGTCTACTCTACTTACCGACATTTCTCTGATCCTTGTTATGATGAAAACATTTTAGTGTCACTAATGGATTAGTCTAACAGGTCAATGCATGATCTGTTGTTCCGAAGACAATAGCTATTCCAGCCTCACGTTGAGATGTCGAAGGGCAATGATCTTAAAAAAACGTTCGATGCTGTATATCTGAGTGTCAGCACGTATGTGCGGTAAATTCTTTCTTTGAAAGCACAAAAATTGCCATTTGACCATGAAATTCCAAGAGAATCTCATCCTGGCCTATCAGACTCTGGAGACAATAACTTCCAAAGTCTTCATCAGTTCTGATGCACCAAACATCATCAGCTGCACGTTTTACAATATCGGTCATCGGTCAGGAGATTTTGAATTTTTTAGTCTCTTGCTTGCGTTCTAAATTATCTCGATTGTTGTAGATTGTTTGACAGGATTGGAATCTTTTGCCAGACTCCATGTTGGTTTTCGTGATGAGCTGTTTCTGGCTCCTAAGCAACCCTTCAGAAACTTCATGAATGGGTCCACTGATTGACCCCGATAGGACCAGCTGCTGCGGCCTCCTGTTTATTAGTTCAATGAGGTGCTTATGTTGGATCAAAGGCCCCGTTCACACTAAACCGCTGTAATCGGTTTCGATCTAGGTTCCGCCGAAGTCAGATTCAAGTGGCTCCATCTGAACGCTCCAAATCGCACTGAAAGCGCCTCGATCCCAAACCACTTCGGGAGGTAGTTTCGAAGCGGTTTTCATGGATTACGATTTGCGTCTGAACGCAATGTGATGTCAATATGACTTCATCCGGTCATGAATTACGGGGTAATATTTCTTTATTTATATGCAATACCAAAATTTACGTGGCAGCAACTTAAAGAGCAATAATGACCGAATAATGTGTCCAATTGTGGGACGAGCTACACCGCCTCTGACGGGACCACGTCGGCATTGGCATTTTGGCCGAGGTACCCTGTGAGGGGAACACCGGTACCAGCAAGCAGGTCGTTGACCTCTGACATTGATAACACGCTACCTTGCGTGTTTTTATCAAACAACAATTAAAGTAGCCAGATATGAGGAATCCAAGTTATGGCCTCCGATCCTGTCACATGTTTTCTATTTCACGGCTAATTTCTTTTAAAATAAAATGGACGTCATGACCTACGATAAAGACAAATAGGGGAGATTAGAATAATGTATCCTGATCTTTGTCGCTAGAAAATAACTAATATTCTGTTCTTTCTTCACCGCTGACGATATTGACGTCATATGCTCGCGTACATTGAATATTAATACACTGTTTTGAAACTACCTAGCGCCTAGACTATGCTGATTATTCTTATCCCCTGTACTACGTTATAACTCTATGTATAACAGATTTGTAACATTTGTCCTTTTCCAGCCTTAGAATGCCGAATATCGGTGACATCTTTCCAAACTTCAGGGCCATGACAACAGAAGGGGAGATCGACTTTTATGATTGGCTGGGAAACTCGTAAGTTTCATTAAGTTTCCTGCCTAGTTTAGCTAGCGGCAAGGACTTTTATGCGAACAAAAATTCGTGTTCTTGCCATTATATACAAAGATATAGATAATATTGTGGTAACTAACTGTGAATATACAGTTTATTTCCAAATGCCTTTTAAAAAGAATCCAGATGTTCAATTTTTCGAGTCTTCGTTAAACATATACAAAAGTATTCATATTTCTTCCCTACACTGATGCTATATTTGTATTCATACTTCTAATGCATCACCCGGACCAATTAACTTCTCAATTCGAAACGCCCACGCGTGTTCAAGTGTCACGTCGATTATTTTCTTCGAATTCCTAGAGCACGGCGCGTCTTAGCGGAGAGGGGGAATTAGCTTCAAGCTAAGAGGAAGATTGAGCACGTCGGAACGTCGAACACATATATAGATTTGAAAAACAAGACAAAAGTTTTTTTTTTTTTGTGTTCGACAAAATAATCGAACTACAAGAGCATACAACAGCCTCCAATTTAATTTCGACATTCCAGTTTAATATCTAGACTAATTCCCATATCTCTGCAACCTTACACCTAGATGGGCTAATATCATAAACTACAGTTGAAAATGATGTAAGAAATATGTAGCAGCTATCGAGGACCCCAGAACTTATAATAGCATAATTCTGGAACTGTACAGAATTCTGAAGTATTGCAGCTTAATCTCTTCTTACAACATATTTACCTACAGTTTACGATATTAACCCATCTGGATGTAGGGTTGCTGAGATATAGGAATTAGTCTGGAATTAAACTGGAAGTCCGTAATTAAACTGGAGACTGTTAATTATTATTTTCGTTGCTGTACATGTTTCTCACCAAATCTGTTGCTGAAGGTTGTATATTTACGTTCGAAACCTGTTTTTTTTCTGACTGCCAAAGCTGAAGTATTATATAAAGCAACACGATACATTCCCATTAACTTGAAATGAACAAATTGAAAGTGTTGTTTTACCAATTGCTACTTTGGCCGGAAGCCAATCTCTTTGCTGATGTATGTATAACAGCCTGTATACCATACATGCTAAAAATATATAATCTTTAAGTGATTAATACTGATACAAGTATGACCAGGTGCACACTATGTGACACAAATAGAGCCGTTCAAAAATCGTATAGACTGAAACCTAATCTGTATGGCTTAAGTTTCTTACAAATTATTGTTACCATTTATAGAACTCATAAGTATGATTTTTATAGATTTTCACATGTTTTTCATGCTGTGGTGCCAGGATTTATGATAAGTACTGTTTCCTGCGTGTACAGATGGGGGATCTTGTTTTCTCATCCGGGTGACTTCACCCCGGTATGTACATCTGAACTGGGAAGGGCGGCTCAGCTCATGCCTGAGTTCAGGAAGAGGGGCATCAAGATCATCGGCCTCTCGTGTAGCAGTGTACGGGACCACGAGGCCTGGATTCCCGTAAGTCACAATGTAGTAATACGGCACGTCGGCTAAGCCTACTATGTTTTCGTGCATAGCACTTTAGCAGAACGCCTGATTTCAAGTTTTTTCGCGCATTGATAATTATGACATCCCGTCTATAGTTTTCAAATCTGGGTCGGAAAAGATATTGCCTGCAAGGGGGAAAATTTTGGTGGCTAAACCATCCAAGAAAACCGTGAAAAATCCGATTTTACGCACGCACAGTGCCTTCTGCCGACGAGCTTAGTAATGCGATTGGCGTCTGTATGTAGGGAGATACTAAATAGGTATTATTTTGGGGCGTGTTGTTACTTTGCTTGTGCGTCCGTAGTTATCTAAATACTGCAGATCTCACAGGATCGGAATTGAGGGGAGAATAGTGTAATGACTTACCTCTCCATGAAATGCTGATGTTTCTAAGTGACTTTCAGGATATATTGACATACACCGGCTTGCAAGGGCCGATGCCTTTCCCAATCATCTCCGACGAAAAGCGGGAGCTGGCTGTTGGACTGGGGATGTTGGACCCCGAGTTTAAGGACGACAAGGGGATGCCGATGACCTGTCGGGCGGTCAGTGTACCAGATTTCAAATCTTCACAAATCCTTCTAATCCACGAATGCAATCATATGTGATTGCATGCATCTGTGGTTTTAAAGGATTTGCTATTATTCAGTCCCCTTCTATACAGGCTATTTAATCGGTGTAGTACCTACTCTTTGTATCGGCACTAGGATCTACAATAAATGCTTTAGTCTTAGCAAGGAGGTTGAATACAACGTTGGTTTTTAACCTCTTTTGGTCTTAGCTTCTGCTTCGTCTTCTGTCTAGTCATTAGATTAATTAAAAGGCACAGAAATGTCGTTGAAGAGGTTCATCAGTCACGTAGAATTAACAGTTAGTAGAAATTCTTCAATCAGTGACTGTATTTAAAGGTAAAAACACTTACCTCCAAATTTTCGGTGTCGACTGTACACCTTTCTCAAGGTCGAGACTTGTGTGGATCGAAAATTTGGAGGTACGTGTTTTTACCTTTAAATACAGTCACTGATTGAAGAATTTCTACTAACTGCACAGAAATTTGTTTGAAATTTAGCTAGATGAAACTGACCAAGGACTTGCACTAATTAAGACAGTTACTGGTCTGTTGTTCCCAACAGCTCTTTGTCATCGGTCCTGACAAGAAGATGAAAATGTCAATCTTATATCCAGCTCTCAGCGGAAGAAACTTTTCGTAAGCGGTTTTCACTTTTCACAGACTCTGTCACCAGTCGACTTCAATCAACAGTTCAATCAGTCACATCCTATAAGAAACCTTATAATTAATTAAGAAATGGAGAATACATCTTTTCGCACAAGGATGGCAAAAGCAATGTCTTTCCACCAGATTTCATACTACTACAGACTATAGTCATTATATCCACAAGTGTTCTTTGATATTGTAAGTTGGTTTTCTTAACTTGTGTGTAGGTTAAATGGTATGTGATTAGATCTCTATATAAACATTCTCATATTTTAGACCTTGTATTTCAGGGAAATCCTCAGAGTTGTTGATTCTCTTCAGCTGACAGATCTCAAGAAAGTCTCCACCCCAGTAGACTGGAAGGTTAGTATGCTCATTATCTTTGACCTGGTTTTAAGTGCCTTTGCCCCTGAGGCGTCTCCAAAATTATTTGCAATTGCATGCAGTCCTGAATATTCTATCCGAAGAAAAAAGAGCAAACCTCTGACTAGACGTTACTTGTGTCAAAATATCACGTTATCAAGATGAAAAACAATATTGCCCTAATGTCTGTAGGAGATATTTCAGCGTTTATCTTTCACTTAGATAAAAACTAAAACTCAAAACGACTTTGTCCGCTCATGATCGATAAATGATCGTGTCTGTTACCATGGTAACTAGTGTTGGGTTACATAATGTTGCAATTTTATAGCAGGAGGGATTTAGACTTCTGTCTGACAATATATTCATGAATGTGTTTGAGAAAAGATTAACAGAGCAGATCATATGCGAAGGTAAACATTATGTATTTGCCTTGCAAATGTTACCTTTCTAGTTGAACTCAACTTGTTAACTGTGCGATTTTGTCCTACAGTACGGGGAAGACTGTATGATAGACGTGTCCGTACCCCGGGCGTACGAGGACCAGCTGTTCCCGCAGGGCGTGACGGTCAAAACGCTACCCTCGGGGAAGGATTACTTCAGAACCACCCCCATGCCGTAGGTCTCCCTCCCCTGGGAGGCCCTGGACTTTACCGTGCCACTCTAGCCTCTACCAGGCTTCGGGAAACGGCTGGAAAGAGTAGAAGTTGGCCAAATAGACAGAAAACGTGCCGGGGGAGTTGGTCCGCGAAAGAGTACAGTTTGCCACTCCCGAACTGTACTCTCTAACGGACAAAGTCTCCTGGCATGTTATCTGTCTATTTTGCCAATTTCTACTCTTTCCAACCGCTTCCCGAAGCCTGGTAGAGGCTATTGCCACTCCCCATTTAAATACACCGGTCGGGTGGTATCCACTACACCGTCCGGTATCTTCTAGCACCTCCCTTTGTGCTGTATCAGTACAAAAACGTTTATGGTAACCAGCACCTCTCAGAGAAAATATATTTTGGGTTTAAGCTAGTTGAACAAAGGTCACCTGTCACACAAATACGGAATTTATGAATATTGTGATAGATGTAACGTTATATACATGTACTGTTTTATGATTGTGATGTGATGTTATATATTTGTCATAATTCTAACAGAAGGAAATCAAAGTTATTCTCTTTAATATTTTGGTCATTCATGAAAATCATATGTACCAGTAATTCCATCGTACTTACTACATGTTGAGTTCACAATTAGTTTAGTTTACAATTAGTAAGTACAAATTGCTGTCCATGTGTTCTATCAGATACAATTGTATGTATGTATGTTTGTTTATTTGATGTTCGAAATACCTCTTACAAAAGCAGAGAAGGGCCTCACTGTATCAGCCAATATAGTTTGCAGTTGAGCAGTTGTTACAAAAGAAGTTTGAAGTAATCTGGAATTGAGCATACTTGTAATGTTTATCAAAACTGTACATTGTTCACCATTGTCAGCCTTATTGTTAATGAAGGACAAAAATGTAATTTGTATCGTTGTCTGTAAATAATGAAACATCATTTATATTAATACCTGTTTATAGAATTACGTGATATGAAATAAGGTTTGGAGTCATGGACTATAACAATTTTTTTCCGGGTTGAGTGGAACAGTTCCAAGTGAGCTTGATAGATTGAGTGACTCAGTCAATTTCCATTAACTAAAATGACTCTGTCTTAGACTAGTAACTGTATGTCATTGCAACATGCAAGATATATGTGACGTTAATGGTCAACTCTCACATTATCAATATGAAAATATAGATTTTTTTTTTAAATCTCATAGAAGGATACTTCTTATGAGGATTCATCAGATTAGAATTCACGGTAAGCTGCATTATAGCTCATCTCTAAAGATTGTCAACCTTCACACAGACTTAACTATTTCCCGCAGACATAATCCTCTTTGGTCACTACATCCAATAATCATCTTAGCAAATTAGTATACTGTCTGATCACATATACAAAAATGCTGTTTGGGTAACATACACAGAAAGATGATAAAGGTGATTGAAATATTGATGTGTATTTTTAGAGTTGGCATTTTAAAAACATTTTGTTATTCAATAGTATGGCTTCCTTTTATCAAAATATTTTCTATGATCTCCATAATACTTTTAGTGAAGCTTTTCCATTACATGTACCTTTCCCACACACCACACACACAAGGTACCAGTGTCATATTTATATCACAGAAATGCAACGCACAATGGCAAGTTTATCATGGTACCTTATCTATGTACCACATGCGAAACAAAAAATGGAGCTGTGATGATTGTACATTGTACATGTTTGTATTACTATTGGGTAAACAATACTAGTAAGTAAAATTCTTCCTTCTTCAAGATATATACAGTACAATGATGTAATATTTAATTTCAATTTGCATAGATAGGTAAAAATATATATCATAGTTTATACTTTATTTGCAGGCTCCGCCTATATATATTGCAATCAGAATGTCACATCTACTGTATTGCATGTCACATTTTGTTCTACTAAAATTGCCAAAGGGGGATCCAGTGCTGTGCAACAATTACAAAATATACAATACATGTATATGCCTTTTCACACATATATCAACAGCTACTGCATGTCTAGACACAGTGCAGAATACATGTAATATAAATAAAGTCATTCTGATATCTTGTCTACATAAATTGTATACGTAGGTTGTTAGACTCTTTCCTGAGCTGGTTGTGCATCCTTCAGTAGAGGTGTTTGTTCATCAGCCTCTGTGTTCACCATGAGGGAAGGAACACTGTCCTGCTGATGGTGTGGATCTTTCAAACGTCGAAACGACAGAAGAGCCAGAATCTAGAGGGGATGGGAGATTGTAGCATGAAGAATGTACTAAAAGTACTGTACCTGCACAAAACCTGCAATGTATTGTGCATGGCACTTTAGCAGAACAGACTGTTTAAGATCATATTTGCGTATTTAAGGATGACATCCCATCTATAGTTGCAAGAGGCAAAATGGCACACTGTTTAACACACATCCAACGAACTAAAAAATCATGTTTTGCTCAAGCACATTATGTTCTGCCGACATGTTGGAGGATTACAGTTAAGCTATCTGTCTGTATATATAGCTGAACTTCTTCCTGTAATTACACTTACATAGCGGCATATACATTATGTACATCTAAATTTGGACTCAGCTCCAAGTGTTTCTAGCTGCACTCATCATCATCATTTTTCGTAGGACCTCCATCATGATAATGATTATGAGGTTATATTGGGAAAAAAAGCAGGGTAACACATTTGAATGTGTGTGAAGGAGAAAAGAGGACATTATCGGCAGATGATGTACATGTAACTCACCATGACTAGCCCCTGCATAGCGACCATCACTCCCAAAAGCACATTCAGCATGTGAAGTGTGGCACCTGCCCAGAGTGGACCTATGATGCAGGCTACAGAGGAAACAGCACGACGTATTCCATGGGATAAACCTAGAAGAGAAAAAATTAGAATAGAAAACCTGGAAGAGAAAACCTAGAAGAGAAAAAATTAGAGAAGAGAAAACCTAGAAGAGAAAAAATTTTGCTCCCTGCTAGACTGTTCTGCTCCCTGCACTAAGAACATGTCACTGGATGCTTTTCTCACTACCAGTAACACAAAAGGACCTTGTCACATTAATTCATTGTGCAATTGCAAACTGAGGACATTCTTGGAAGAGGTGTGCATCATATGTCAAACTAAATTCATCTGTCTTGACACAGAAGAGGCTGTCTTAGATCCGTGTCAGCAGTTGGCTCTATCACAGCCTGCTTGAATTGAAAATTCTATGACGTCAAACTCATACAATAGTCTGCAATGAATGTGACAGCTCCTTAACCAATGATAGGAATGTGTTTCTTTTCTTTGAGATTGTAGAAGACTAACCTTGAATTCTTCTATCAGTGACCTTAGAAAAGAGGGATGTTGAAGCAATCATGATGGGAGCAAAACTCATCAGCTGTAGGGCTGCTCCAACTATGAAGTATGGCAGTAGGCTGGGGTTGTCTGTAACAATAAATTGTTACTATCAACATGATCTAAATTAATCTAAAAGATGCAAATGAATATTTTCATTACAGAGGATTAGGCTATAGTGATTTTATTATATAATATGGATGACATTCTCTGGGAACCTCAAAACCGATGCGAGCGTGCGAATAAAAAAAAGTTTGGCCAAAAAAAGTTGCCTTCACTGTGAAATCCATATGGTCATGAAGGATGAACATATTACTAAACACTCAGAGTATGTAACATTGTGTCAGACTCTATTTCTGGGTAAAATTCGCAGGTACAAATGTACCTGTAACATTAGGATATTGTAACTTACAGGTGTTATCTTTGATGAAAACTACAAGCCATGCCAGAGACAGGCATGACAGTGTCAGACCCCCGAAGATAATGGTACGGTCCTGGAACTTCTTGCTAATACATCCAATGCCCACATAGCAGGCAAGCATCTGTAAACACAATAAATACATAATATGATGAGAAGAGCTATTGGCAACAACAGTTACAAATACACCAACATCTGTCATTCCTCTAACAATGTAGACCAGGGATCTAACCAGCACCCATTTTTCCTCACTATTTTAAGCCAATCCATCAACTCTGATGGACAAAATTGACAAAAATCTTGGGTTAAAATATAAAAACACCCAAAGGACCAACAACTACATGTACATGTTCTCTCAGCCCTATGATTTGTTTCAAAATGTGGAAAAGTGCATTTTAAATTGAAATTCCAAAATTTGTCCCCAGATTCCCCTTGATTGTGAGTAGGTCTCCCCCCAGGTCTGAACATGATCCTGAGCTGACAGAAAATAATTTCAAGCAGGCTAGAGCCCTGACATGGACCTTTCTGATCATTGCATCCAAACTTACCTCTGCAGCAGCACACATGTAAAAAATGCTGTTTTCTTTCTCTCCCCATCTAAACACTTCCTGCGATAATGGTGTTGCAATCGTCTGAAAGCACAGAAAAATTCTGTTAACTTGACCCTTCACAGGAGGTCAAACATATTGTTCCAACTTGAAGACATGATATAATAAAGCATGAATATCACTTATCTGAACTCTTTAATGTAAATATTCAATCTTACAGACACAAAATTAATAGTTTTTAATTACTAGATGTTTCACCAAGATCTAATAAAATAGAAATCAGTAGAATACTAACCTCAACTGTGACCTGGTTGAAAATAATGCAGAAAATAACAGCCAACAGAACAACTGTCTCTTCTCTCAATACATCTGAAAAAGACGTTGTGGTATAAAAACCTGCATCACTTGCACTCATCTGAATTGGTACAGTGATTGGACTATCCCTAATACTACATTACCTGTCATCTGTAACGTTCACATTTTCTTTCTGTACAGATACAACTTGCAAACAAGCTCTAGAGCCTATTATCTAAATTAGGTCACCAGATAAAACCAAATAACAACAACACAAGTGACAGACAGAAGTTAATAATTAGATCAGTATAAACACCTTACCTGCTAATAAAGTAAAGAAGGAGGGTTTGTCTGTCTCCTGGGTAACAGGACCTGACTGATTCGATGTCTGGATTTGGGCATGAGGAAAAGGCACATTCAGGAATAATTAGTTTGCAACAATCATTAGGTAACACAATCGCCATTGGTCAAATAGAAGCTTCCAGCATGAACAATGACATAAATGATAACTACATCACCTAAATGTAAATGAAAGGCTACATTCTGATAACTTTTCCTTCAGGTACAAGATAAAATCAGAACACTTATACATTTCCACATCACAAGTTTGAAACAAATTTACTGAAAAACTGAAACATACATTTTTGTACCTGGTCAAAGTATTTTTTTATGCTGGGCTTTAATTTTGCAGGGTTACTTTGTAGTTGATCACGCTGAACTAACCTTTTCTAGTATTGCTCCATCACTGGCGTTCACTGTAATACCATCCTCTGCCTCTGATATATGATCCTGATGCTCACTGTTCACAGCTCCATTTGGTTGTGATGAACAACCAATCGTATGCCCTTCCACCTCCCCATTGAGTACATTTTCAAAACTGGCTGTCTTATAAAATTCTGAACTTTCAACAGTCATAGATTGCATGTTAGAGCGACACGTGTGGAAGGACTCATATGACTGTTGGTTGTAACTGTTTACACTACTTGGATTACTCTCAACTTGTGCAGTTCCCTGAGAAACTGTCATATTCTCTGTCAAGTTATTAGAGGGTACTGTTGTAGAGCTTTGTATATTTTCTTTTCCCTTGTTAACTGTCTCAGAAGTGGGGGGAAAGTCACTGTTTGGTTCAGCATCAATGTAGGGGAGGTCATAGACAAAAAACACCATGTATATCTCCAGTAAAATGGTCAGGGCAGCCATGAAGACCTGAAAGAATATCAAACATTAATCAAATTTTTCCTTCATTCATTATTCATCAAAATGTACAACTTATACCATAAAATGTTGAGAGTTTCCTCTCATAATATTTTAATTTGAACATCAGAATTATGTTATTTGAATACCACATTGCTAACCTTTCATAGTCACAAAAAGGACAGATTTTCTATACATTTACACTCAAACTGTATCTTACATTGATAGCAGCAACATATGCCTGACAAAGACTTACCCCTGGTGCTGTGTATGCATCAATTTTGAATGGACCAATGTAGAAATCACACAGCCTCAAAACAAAGTTGAATCCTGGCCCTGAGTCAAATACAAAAATAATGAAATTTAAAACAAAAAATACATTTTCATTCATCCTTAACTAAAAGCAAGATATTACTAGTATCACTATTAGCTTTACTCTTAATATTCAAAGTGTGTGTATAGATTTCTTGTTTACAGCACAGTAAACAATATATTGATTCAAATTACAAGAGGAAAGTACTGAGACAACAGCATTTTTCTGTATCTGTATCTGTATTGCATGTATGTGACACGGTATAGTCGGTATAACAGCCCTTCGGCATTACACACCAACTGGAATGTTTGAATGCCATAAACTAATAATGAATTTAATAACCATTCCTGACTTACCAACCATGACACCGATAAAGCGTGTAGCGATGAAGAAAGAGAATGTCCTGGTCCTTTCCTCATTGGTTGTGGTGTGAGTTAGATGAGCCATGATGGCTGACCCTACTCCTGCCCCTGCCCCTGACAGCAGGCGGGCACCCAGGATTAGGTACTTGGACATCCCCACAGAATACAACGCACTTCCTGGGAAGGGGTTTACATGTTGGAAGTGACATTAGAAAAGGATTGATATAGTGTATAAACTGACTAACAACCTTTTTCAGAATAATTTGCAACATGAGGACTGAGGAGTAAATTATGCTATACATTGTAGATTGGAGAAGAAATTGATGCAACATATAGTTTAAAAATTGCACCTGTTTCCTCTCAAACCTATACTACTAAATTCAACAATCATCACGGAAAAAAAAAAATTATTTGTGCATTGTACAATGTATCCTTCCTTTAAAGGATAAAAAAGACCCAGGTCATTTTTGAAGATCAATTTTTTTTTTAATTCTGAATTATCAAAAAGAACCAAATGTGCCTGAACACCACAAGCACCTGACCAGCAAATGTGTAGTTTTCCTACCTGCTATCCCCCAAACATTAGCAAAGATGACGATCCATTTGGTCTTCCCAACCCGGTCAGCCCAGATTCCGAAGACGATTCCGAAGACCAGACTGGCTACGCTGAAAGACGAGAACACCATCCCGAAGAAAAACTTGTCTCCTCCGAGGGACTCCACATACAGCCAGGCAGTGGGCAGGATGACAGCTGTGTGGATAATCAACGCAAGGTTGAAAGACAAAAGGAACATTACATGCTATGACTATATTCATTTATTATTGAGGGTCTGCATGGGAGGGTCCTGGCAACGGTTAACGGTAAATTCAGCAGGGCCGACAACGCTTAACGGTAAATTCAGGACGGTCGGCAACGCTTAACGGTAAATTGACAGGCGTTTTTTCGAGCTGCACTGGATTTGGTATCTCGCTTTGTGAGAAAAGGTGACCACTGACAAAATTACGTATACCTTACATGTAATGAAGAACGCATTAAAGGTATGTGTTTCCCACCTGCCCTGGTCCCCTAATGCGTCCACAAATAAAGGGGACCGAGTCGACGTCGGCCAAGGCTCTACCCAGCTTGCCTTTTTTCCGTTCGCCCAGTTATATCGATGGATTTTGAGAGCAATCATGGTGTTCAGAGTGTTTGTTCGTCCTTCTGATGTTTTCATATTTTTTGTTAATTTTGTCAAGGTTGACGGATTCGTTAAAAAATTCTATAACGCTCCGCAAACTTCCGGTTAAACTGGTGCTGGCTAGAGCGGAAGGGGACCGAGCGCAGAAGCGCGAGTCGAGCGCCAAAGGCGCCAGCAATGTAGGGGGGTCTGGGGGGATTCTCCCCCGGGAAATTTTGTATTTTTAAACCTTCAATGACGCATTTTCCTGCAATTTGAAAGGCAAAATTAGGTGTAACGAAGAATTATTCATTAACGATAAAGCTGAATTTAGGATGACAAATAACGTTTTACGTTGAATTAAAACGACCAATAACGCTTCACGATGAATATTCTGATAACGCTTAACGTTGAATTAGAGCAGGCCGGCAACGATTAACGGTAAATTAAAATAGCCCATAACGGTTAACGAAAAAGGGCATGCAGGCCCTCATTATTCATTGCTACTTTTGGTCTTCTTTTGGAGGCCTTTTTAATAAGGTTCTCTAATGAGATGACTTAAGTTTTTTTCACATTTGCCAGTACATTTGACCCTAGCACCAGTTACAGTAGTAATTGGACTTTAGACCAAGTATAACACAGGGGAATATGGTGAAACGGTAATGGTGAAGTTGATTTAAGGTTATGATCACTATCAAGTGAGTACAAAGGTCAACAGAACGTAGATAAAAGGTTTCAACAAATAGCTTTGTTACAAGAAAATATTGAGTAATGATACAAAATTCATTGATTCCCATCATATATCAAGTTATCTGATTATCATACTTAACATAACGTTAGCAGATATATCACACTGTGAGAAAGAAGACCCCTGGGAATTAAGTAACAAAAGTCAGCAGTTCAGTCATCATGTAATGTTTATACAGATGATGATGATATACAGATCTCACCATATTCCACACCGGCGATGAAAAACCAGATGCCGAAACCGATGTTAGTTAGAATTTTCTGAGTCCTGAGTTCCATGGTGGGTGTCTGACTCTGTCAGTATAGTCAGGGCGGTTCCTTGGTCAGTGGTCAAAGATTATGGCGAAGAATCCCAGTCCCACGGTGTGAACAGTCTCTCATACTGACACCAAACGATCCACTCATACACGAAGCGTTAGACTTTTTGTAGAGGAACAGTTGCTGTTCGTTTAAGTGTTTCTCAGGGCAAGAAAATATCTGTGATGACCGGACTACACATCTCCCGCCACCGGCACTACGGGGTCACCAGAGGTCAACTGAAGGCCCTGGTGCATTGTGGGAAGGACTCCTGAGGTGGAACGCGAACCTGTGTGTGTCAGCACTCGAGTAACGCGAAAACAGCGGTTTTGGGGGCTTATTTGGGACGGGATAAGGTATTTCAGGCGCTTTGAGTATTATTTTTAAGCTGTAGATGCTAGTTTGTGCGTTAAAGTTGTGTAGTGCCGTATGGCTTTGTTTGCGTATTCAGGTTTTGTTATGGGGAGGGGGGTGATAGTAAACTGCAGAGATGCTAGACTCCGTTCTCCAGACTCTCTAGTCTCTAGCATGTCTAGCTGCTGCCAGTACACCTACTAGTTACTACATGCAGCTACACATGTATGATAGCTTCCACGCATTTAAAGAAAGGAGCCAGTGTAAAAAAATCATGTCAGAATGCCTGCCAGCCTTCCCCCAAAGCAGCAAAATATGGAAAACGATTTTGAACTGCCTCCAGCCTCCCCATGTTTGCAAAATTTAAAGTAAATTTTTATTAGAAAAGAGTACAATTCTTTGTTGTCCTTAATTAACTTTTCTTATAATTTTTCTAGTTTAAGCTATGGCACAGGGAACCTCCACTGCCCCACAGGTGCACGCCTCTACCCAGAATGCCTTAGAACCCTTCCTGATCCTGGCCAAAGGTGCGAAGGGGTCAGCAGCCGTGGCCCTCATACAGCAGGTCACCGAGGCACCTGCTGTCTATGTGTTCGGAGATCTGCTGGAACTTCCCAACATACAGGAGGTAAGAATAACCATTGTGTCAGAACGGGAATAGTGTACTTTTTTTTCTTCTTACAACAACTTAGAAGACGACCATTTTCTGTACCTGCACTGTGTATAGCCAGTATAACTGCCCTTCGGCATAACACACCATCCTTGCAAACATTGAGACACATGGTGCAACGGCAGCTAGCTATATCACACTGAACAACATTTATCCAAAGAGAGGCTGTGTAAGTGTGTTGTTCTCTTCTGTGACACTGGATTGTCATCTGGATTGTTGTTAGTTAAGTAACTTAAAGACATTTTCTGATTACTTTTTATCTCTTATTACAGCTTTCAGAGGGTACCAATTCAAAGTGGTGGAACTTGCTGAACTTGTTTGCCTATGGTACATATGCAGATTACAAAGGTATGAAAATGATAACTGTCACTGTCAGTATGTCTCTGTAATATCAGAACCATTCATGCATGGTGACCACATGGTCTATATAAAGGTATTTTTTTGTAGTTGATGATATGATCAATAACAAATTATTGATTATTAAGATTCTCAACAACAACAAAACAAGGGTTTAGAACAGAAGGTAATTAACATTGAGGGCACTAAAATATTTGTAAGCCAATGACATTCACATGTTCATTGCAGCAAATACAGACAACTTTCCTGAGCTGAGTGCAGCCCAGGTGAAGAAACTGAAGCACTTGACTGTGGTCTCACTAGCTGCTAAGTGCAAGGTAATGCTCTATATGGTATTATCATGAGCTTACAATTTATTGACTTTTAGCTGACTTATTTTCAGGATACATGTAATATGTTTTAAAAAGTATGTTTTCCTGTGCCCTTGTACCCATGTAACAATTCATGTATCCTTGCAACCACAGTGCATTCCTTATTCAACTCTTCTGCAAGAACTGGATATGAAGAACCTGAGAGAACTAGAGGTGAGAGAATTAAGCCTTTCCTGATCCAGTTTTAAACCTCTGTCTTTTTTTGTGTGTGTATCATTCCTTCTGATAATTAGGCCACAGTAAATTTTATAGATGACATCCTCCGCAGACTCCAAATCTAATGCGAGCGGGCAAAAAAAAAAAAAACAAGGCGGGCCCAAAAAAACAAGGTTCCTACATTGTTAAATTTTGACTCAATCGTTGTACAAATGGTCTTGATTCAGTGGGAACATCACATAAACACAGCCAGCATCACATATCACTGCATCAAAGTAAGAAACAAAACATTAAATCAGAGCCTTTTCTTGTCTCCTCTCTTCATAGTTATCTGCCATCCACCTTCGGGCATGGCAACATACATCTTTGCCCATTTTCGGCATGTTGACCCCTGTCAGAGGGCAACAAAATTTCTTTTTTTTTCCCCAAATCAGGCTAAAATTAATGCGCGCGCCGATGTCATCCATAAAAATTACTTGCTGTGGCCTTAGTGAGATTCTAAAATTTCTAAAAGAGGTACACGAAGAACTAAGAATAGTAAGATTATCTACTGCATTGGATTGGAGTTCATACGGGGTCTTCTTCTGTCACAGGACCTAATCATAGAGACAGTTTATGCTGACATTATTGGAGGCAAGCTGGACCAGAAGAACCAACAGCTAGAGGTGGACTATGCCATCGGCAGGGACATCAGACCAGAGGCCATCGAGGAAATCGTCAACACATTACAGGAATGGTGAGGAATTATGTAACCTATGGCCTATGTACAGTACATTAAAACTGTTTCACCCTGACTATTCACTCCTATTAAGGGTGGGTCACATTTTAACTATCATCACTAATTCACAGACTGACTAACAGTATAAGTTCAGTACAATTCAAAGAAAACCACTTTCAAGTGAATTGTGGTAGTAGGTTACAGTAAGAATGGTGGACAGACACATAAGATGTCATAGTGTACATGTAGATTCATGACACCAAATTCTATCCAAAGTAGAAAATGCATTATCACCGAAGGCTTTACCACACCTTTGTGGAATTGGATACATTGTATTTCCTCTCAGAGGCCCTTGAAAAAAAGTGTAACATCTTGATGTGTTGCCTTACTCCCAGGTGTAATGGATGTGAGCAGGTATTGGCAGGAATAGAAACCCAGATCAGCAGAGCCAACGGATACAAGGAGCAGCAAGTCAAAAACAAGCAGCAGATAGAAGCAGAGGTAAGTTATCTGTACAAGAGGAACAGTGTTCTCAACCTCACTTGTTATTAAACATAGGAGCCCTCAGAGCTTCCAATTAGCAGTTAATTCTTTCATTTAAATGAAACAGAAATGTGTGTTACAATAAAAATGATACATCTGTAATCAGGTTTTGTTGCAAGTAATTTGTTACGTGTCAGTGTCATGAACAAAAAGAAGCTACCATGGAAGTTCTATTGAAGGCGACAGTGGTGTTACTGTTAGAAAATTTGATCCCTGTGTACTCTTTGTGTTAACTACAACAAGAAGAAACATTCACACTTCTGCTTTGCTGTTGAAACAGGTAGCTAACCTGAAGAAGACAATAAAAGCATCTCAAGATGTAGATCAGCACATGCAGGCTGACAGTCAGGAGCCCACCCACGCTCCTCAGGAGAAACCTGCTCGCAAGTCCTCCAAAGTTAAAGGGTACGACTTCCTTCTTATAGTATGTCTGATCTGTATACATCTGGTATAGGGAGAAGTTTTCAAGCTAGCACTGTAGATATTTCTATAGCTCTGAAGCAAAAGACTAGAATGTAACCACTGACTTTAGAATACAGAATTTTCTGTTGTTACATTGACTAAAAATGTTTGATAACCTATACATTGTATAGAAGACAGATGTAGAATTGCTAATCTATCCTTGGTCTTAGGACTTCAATAAACTCTGCAGAATTTTCCAACCTTTTTACAAGCCAGTTGGTAGTTGCTTGCTCCAAAAATTTTAACAGCATGATTGTTGCTAATCTTTTTTTTCTTTTCCATAGGCTCCGTGGGAGTGGAGGAAAGTTCTGGCAGAAGTCCAACTGATGTCAGCACGCAGAGCATCTCCCACTCGTTTATACAAGATCCAGTGGTCTTTATATCTATTTCTTGTGTACATAATATTTGTTGAAACAAAGTTTAATGCATATTTTACAAGTTGATAAGACAGTATTCCTCATGGTATAAGAATTTGTTGAAACACTATCATTTTTCTCTATTCTTTACCATACCATTAATGGTAAGTTTAGTATGGATCTATGGAAAACCAAATTTCAGGAAATAGACATTATTTTTGTTTGCCTGATTCAGATTTTTGGTTCCTATATGGTCAGCCTGTTAGTTACTATATTGTTAGTGGTAGGTCCTCCCATACAACATTTTCTGACCATGCCACAGTTTTGAGAAACGGGAATGTTGACAGGAAATACTTCAAGTAAAGGAACTCCACCACCACAGGCTTGCATTTGGGGCTACAGCACAGCTCAAACCAGATAGTCAGCCGAGGAACTAAGGCGTCCAGAAACACCTTATAACAGTTAGCAACAATTGATTGGAGAAAATTTCCATAACAATCCTCATTGTTCAAGGCAGAAAACAATGATATACCCACTACTCCCAATACTTAATGTACATTCTAATCTAACAGAATAAATCGGTTTCTGTGTGGCATATTTGTGAATGTAACTGAATTGCTGCTGAGTTTTTTTTGTCAAATTTTTCGTTCCATTGTTTATACAAAAAGTTTTGACACAATAAATCTGCGGTAGCTTTCACCACATAAACTCTCTTTATTGCTCAGCACACACTTCCCCTATGGAAGGCAAATATATTAGCGCAAAATACAAATGTAGAAGCACAATCTACCACCACAATATAAAAATGTCAAACTAAAACACTTCTTTAACTTCACCATGACATTATAGATGGAATCATATTGCACAATGTACAAAAAAAGTAATGGTTTTGTAAATTCGTTGGTGTGTATGGTATAGTACAAAGCTTCAACACTCTACCATTTAGCAACAACTCCTTAAAATTCAGCACTGCAAAAAGCAGCATCATATTACATAAAGCATGGTGTTAGAATTATGGAAAGTTTTCTCAAGTCTGTACAATTTGATATAAAAAGTGCTGTTCTGTTGGTTAAAGCTACTTGCCTGTCTTAAATTATGGGAATATCAAGAATCAAATGGAAATATAACGTATTTACACCAGTACACCACCACTTTATATGTTAAATCCCCATTATTTTACTACCTGCAATCTTAGAAATACATCCCTCTCCTGAATATACAACCTTCAAAATACTAAGTAGCTCTCTTTCATGTGGTGGCAACTTTTGGTCAATGAGTTAAATTATATCGTCCTTCCCTTCACCTATCTGCTTCTCTGTCTTTGATACATGTACTTTGCATAGTTTTGAGCATTACATAATGCATTTTTTGCAACCAGAAGGAATAAAAAAGGGAAGGGGGTAGAGAAGTACATTCGTGACAAAATGATTGTTCAAATGTCAAGGGGGCTAAAACCTTTCATGCCCCCCCCCCTGAAGTTTTAAATGGAATGACGCCTTTGATAAAGTCCCCCATGGCAGGCTCATCTCAAAACTGGAGTATTATGGAATCCAAGGCCCTACGCTGAATTGGTTAAAGGCTTTCCTGACCAACAGGGAGCAAACAGTAGTGGTTGAAGGGAAGGCGTCGGCTCCAGTTAAAGTAGCGTCTGGGGTCCCTCAAGGAACCGTCCTGGGGCCATTGCTCTTTCTCTTGTATATAAATGACCTACCAGATCAGCTTGACTCAAATGTTAGGTTATTTGCCGATGACTGTCTATTGTATGTAGACCTTTCTACACAGACCGACTCACAACTTCTCCAAAAAGACCTGAACACCCTGGAAGAATGGCAAAGCAAATGGCTCATGCAGTTTAATCCCGAGAAATGCTACATTATGAACATAACAAACAAACGAACACCACATGCAACTAGCTACCAGTTTTGTGTCAGGCTTAGCAACCACAAAATCCATCCGTATCGTGGGCGTCACGCTGACAAGCGGACTGAAGTGGGGTGTACATGTTAATAATATCACAACTAAGGCGAAACAGACATTGGGAGTGATTAAACGTAATCTGTGGGCATGTCCAACTAGAGTAAAATCACTTGCATACACGTCACTTGTAAGACCGAACCTAGAATACGCTGCGACAGTATGGGATCCATATACAAAGAAAGACAAAGACAAATTGGAAAGGGTACAGAATCAAGCTGCAAGATTCTGTATGAACAACTATGTAAGAGGTGCTAGTGTCACGGAAATGAAAAGAAACCTACAGTGGACCTCACTGGAAGACAGAAGAAAGATGTCTAGACTATGCATGATGTACAAAATGACTAATAAACTGGTGGATGTCCCAACTACTAAGTACCTAATACCAGCCCAGAAGAGAACAAGAAATAGCCACGCATTCAAGTACCAGAGTTATCAACCAAGGATTGAGGTGTTCAAGAATTCATTCTTTCCTAGAACTATCGCAGAGTGGAACTCACTGTCACCAAGTACAGTAGGGGCATTGTCAATAGATAGCTTTAAACAATGTCTAGAGCTAGAAGTTCAAGGGTTAGGTGTAACAAGTCGATCAGTGTAATATAGCCAGCTGCCGCCGCGCTGCGTGCCTGCGAAGCTGGTGTGTTACGCCGAAAGGCGGTTATACCGGCTATACAGATACAGATACAGACTCACAATACTTAAGAATGGAATGTTTAAACTCCTGGTCAAATGCTTCATTAAGTCTAGTTAAAACCACTTCTGCAGCTCCTGTTTGGCTTGTCCCTTTAATTTGTGGAAGTCTTTCATGAACTCGTTCAGCCGAGCCTGAAGCTTCTGTGGATCGTTTCCCGCCTCTTGGAACAGTTTGTTGAACGTGCGATCCTGTTCCTGCTCCAACTCCTCCATATCTGAAACAACACCAGGTCGTTACAATTTCAACAACTACATATCACGGCTACAATTCAATCCACAAGTACCGGTTTTCAGTACTACATTGTGTGGTTGGCCAGATAAAAGCAATTTTGCTGTACCGGTATTGTTTTAAGATATACAATCATATATATATTGGTGTAGAGTTCTTTTTTGAAAGCTAGTAATATTTTTGCAGCCAAATGATGATGACATTTGGGCATCAAGCAATCATCACAAAAACCCCTTGCAGTCTTTTTTCATACCTTCAAATAACAGCAAATCTCACTGCATGCATTTTAGTAAATTACTAGTCACACTTTGCTGTGACATGAAGAAACCTTATCATCCACGTTTATAATTGGTAATTTTATGTGTTACTGACAGAAAAGACATTCCATCTTGTGGCAGGACAAAAAATGGTAATTATGCATCGAAATTGCAGCAATACAAGATATTCAACATACTGACGATGGTGACTTACCCTCCTGTTCAAATGTCTCTAGTTCCATCTCTTCTCCTCCCATCATCTCTTCTCCTATCATCTCTCCTCCCATCATCTCTCCTCCCATCATCTCTTCTTCCTCACCATGTTCCTCATCCTCCTCACCTTCCTCATGTCCCTCCTCCTCACCAGACATAGATCCTAGCTGTTTCTTTTCTAGAGCGTTCTCTATCATCCTCTGTTCTCGGTACATCATGATGATCATGTTCTTGTACTTCTCTTCAAAGTCGTCAAGCTGTGGCACAACAACGACAGATCACGACTAGTTTAGATGAAAGGGTTTACACAAGTCAAAAATAACAACTATAACTTACATTTGAATGAAAGCTCATCTGTGTTGGTACAATCCATAGCTGTGGAGTTTAAACTTTGTTCCAACACAAAGAAGGAATGAATTTTTAGCCCATCAACCCTCTCTGAACCATGATCGTGGAAGAGTTCCATCTTCCCGCCACTTTTGACTCACTCCTCGCTGACATCATCCGGCTTCCGGAAAGTCAGCAAAGTGGATCATTCATATCTTATGAAGGTTGAGTTTGGCTGAAAATTCATGGTGAGTTTCATTCTTTGTGTTGGAACAATATAGCTTTTATTTAGATCACCGATAGGGATCCTGTTCGAGTTTTGTGAAAACTTTTACCTTGAACTTCTCCAGAAAGCCGAGTGTTCTCTGTCTCATGCCCAAGTCGTGCCGGCCCTCCTCGTGGAAGGTTTTCCTGATGGCTGTAGCCCGGTCCACAGACATCTTCACGGCAAACGTATACCTGTTCATGACCATGGCGATATTAAACACAAGGGGAATGATTGAAGACATACTGTGATACATGTATGTAACATGTTCACATTACATTGAAGTAGATGCAATGAAATTCTTTACAAGAAAACTTGTGAAAAACAACTTAGGACTGGTAAATAGCAAGTTTCACTTTTATAAGTTAGTAATCAACAGAGCTGATGTGATTTGGGCTTCATGTCCCCAACCAATAATGTCATACATGTACAAATCCTTCTTACCATAAATTATGACATACAAACTTCAAGGTAAGACCAAAATGTGACCTCTAAATCATTCTTGATCTGCTAAATCAGTCCGTGGATGCCATCATTTTTCTAAAGCAGCAAATAAAATTACCTTGAAAATGTTCTGTTTCTCAAAATTGTTCTCATTAACTAGTTACCTTGCACCAGTGAAGAACACACTTGGGGGTCTGGCAGAGTGAGGAATTATCCCACGAAATATCACAGCCCGGCCGAACTTCGGTAGCACCTCTGCAAAAACAGAGAGAACATACACGTTATCAACAGGCAAATAGTTGAGCCTTTAATATGCTAGCATGTGATTTGGAAAACTCTGAAACTTTAATAAGTTTAAGAGATCATAAAGATTAAAACATAGTAGAATGATAAGATTAATGCATAGGTAGAATGATAAGTGTGACCACGAATAATGTGTAACTTAATATGTACAGGTGATTGAGGTGAATGATGCTATTCCATATATCATACCTGCGATGTACTCTGTATCATCATCATTTCCCTCAAAGAAGGCCGTCTCTCCGTGGTAGTCGTGGGTCCAGTTGGGGTTGAGGTACAGGAGAAACGTCCACTCCTCTTCGTGTGGGCCACAGTCCTCATGGATCCGAGTGTGATCCGCGTTACGTATCAGGTTACATGATATGTCATACGGGTACCAACCCTTCTTTCCTAAGAATGCAAGAGAATACATCAATGTCTAAGCAGCCTATGTTCAAATTGTATAACTGTTAACTATCCAAATACATTATGTCTGTGTGTGATTCAAAATAGTCATCCTTCTATTATGCTGAAATTTTCCTGTGTATTTTGTATTAATGTGTCATTCCATGGTTTCATAATTCTTCTGTTTGCTCTTACTTTTCTTTCACTTCACTCAACATCTATACCTTATGCACAAAACAGCACTTCTATACTTGCAGGGGAACAGTGCTGATGGTATGTGTTCCAACTTCAAAGAATGAGCTTCAAACCTTTATTGTTCTCTGATTGGTTGAATGTTCTTGCCATGTTAATTGGATTACCAGGTTAGACTCACCTGACACGTGTTCCACCACCTGGCTAGTGATGTTCCACATCTTACTCTTCACATAAGACTCCACAGGAAAGCCTGCTATCCACTGAACATTGTCACTGTCAAGGTCAATGCTGTCGTCAAAGAAGTAATGACCTGTGATATCAATTGAAAACAAATCAGTTTAATTCTTCTGAAACAACAGATATAGATTTGTGTGCTGTCATCTATCTAATAGTCTGATGTCTATTTACTATATGCAAGGAAAAAAACAGCCTTTTCAACATCTATTGTGGATGAGTCATTATTTCTTTATCAAAAACTATGCAATGACAAAACCTTGTCCAATGCAGTGCTTTGATATTTACAGTTTTATGGTATTGATACTCTAGAATAAGAGCACGAATCCAACACTGAGCATGCATATCATGGTGAGTATACATCCACAATTTGGTTATACAAAGTGTATGATGGAACATGACAGATTTCTTACCATATTTAATGGTGAAAGTCCGCAAGGCACTGAGGTCTTCTTCATCAAACAGGTTATCCAACACAACACCCTTCATGTCTTTGGAGTCATAGAATTCCTGTCAAATACAACATTACACATTCCTGTTTTAATATAGATTGGAATGTCATTTTGGTGACTGGATTCTTGTACGTATACAATGTATCTGTATCTGTATAGCCGGTATAGCCACCCCTCAGCATAACACACAAGCTTTGCAGGCACACGGCACAGCAGCAGCTGGCTATGTTACAACGAACGACTTGTTACACCTAGCCTTTGAACATTTAATTCTAAACATTGTTTAAAGCTATCTACTATACTTGGTCGCAGCAATTTCCACTCTACGATAGTTCTAGGAAAAAATGAATTGTAGATTGTTATTATAAGAGAGGAATAAGTCTTCTGTCCGTACCTGAATGATGTGTTTCTGTACATCCATGTTAGGTATGCCTGGCTTTTCTGTTGTCACAAACGGCGCCTTGAGGGCGGCCTGTCTCTCAGCCTCCATGGAGTCATACTGCTTCTTGTAGTTTTCCACCTTGGTGGAGTTTGTGGTGAAGGCCATGTTGAGTATGATTTGTCCTTGTTTGAAGTTGATACTAGGAGGTCTGGACAGGTAGTCTGGAGAATCAGTTGTCAGGTGAAGGGTCTTAAGTAATTTAAAAGTATTTCAATGAGCCCATTTGACAAATACTAGTAACAAAAGAAATTATATTTTTTTTTAAATATGATACTTTTCAGCCATTAAGTTGCAAGTGTTATCGACAGATTTTGGAGCATTGTAGACAAAAATCGTACATATCTGACATTTATTCAAATTAGCCAGCTAGATCTTGATAAATACTAGAACAAAACTGGCAACTTTGTCAACTTTTCCTCATTATTGTACCTACCAATAGAGCTGTCCCAGACCACTGTCCTGCCAAATCTCGGTTTTACTGCAGCAAAAATCTCTTCATCGTCATCATAGAAGTACAGTTCTCCATAGTCATTCTTCCTCCACACTTCATTCAGGTAGATACTTGCAGAGAATTCCTTCTCAGACTCTTCTGCATTGTGGTACATCTTAATCAGGTCCAGTCTGAAACAAAAAAAAAACATTATAGTCTTGAGATCACTGATAAGTCATTGAACTTCAAAGGTACTGAAGATCATTGAGATCATTGGAAGATAAATGAGAAATCATTAAAAATTCTCAGGGATATTAAACTAAGCGCTGATCACTGTCTTCTCAGAAGATAAATTAATTGTTTTTAGTTCTGTCTGAAGAAACTGAGCTAGAAACACATTTAAGAAATAGTATATTTCCCTTCAAAGACATTGAAAACTTTAATGTTGCATGTACTTGTCTTTAAGCTATGAAAAGCTAGGACTTGTGTCTTGGTAACACTCAGAGACACCCAATTTGATTGCCCTTACCTTCTGACAACATTAGCTGTGACAGAGTAGAGTTTGTATCCCTGTGTTCCTCCACTCATCTCAGTCACCACCTGTGTCAGACTCTGTCCAGTTCTGGAGGAACTGAACACCTCAGGGTCAAACGTTGCCTCCCACTGCATGTTGTTCCCCTTCTTGCCAGTGTAGTTTCCCTCATGGGGGTCGAAATTCTGAAACCTGGAAAGTGGAGGAAGATGAAGCATCTATGTCTGAACATGATATCTGTACTCAACAATACAATCGTAGACTGGAACTCGTTGCCATCAAGCACAGTAGGGGCATCATCACTAGAAAGCTTGAAACAACTCTTGCAATTAAATGAGCAAAGTGTAACAAGTCGTTCGGTGTGGTATAGCTAGCTGCCGCCGCACCGCGTGCCTGCAAAGCTGGTGTGTTACGCCGAAGGGCCATTATACTGGCTATACTGATACAGATACAGAATATGTGTATAGAATTTTTTTTTAGAATCCTTATTTCACATAACTTTCATACCACTGAGGGTGCACCTGCTGTTTACCCTTTGCACATTTTGCAAATGTAATTGTTTTGGTGTCACTCATCAAAAGAATTGTTTCTGGAGAAGAAACGAAACCCACACTGATGACCATGAGCCTTAGGTGACAATTTGTTCTACTGAGAAAGTCTGTAGTCATGCACAAAGACCAAGCTCCTCCCCCTAGTGTAAACAGTAGGAATCCAGCGGTAGTCACTGATCCTGCACAACAGTTGTCAATTTGAAAGAAACATGGTTTACTTTTGGGTTGGTTGTATTTACACACAATCACTGGGTGGCTTATGTCAACTGTTGTTCAAGGCATTGGGTATTGCAGGATTGTAACTTAGTGAAGGGACACATGTGACTCTAAATAAAAGATAAATTGAATAAAAAATGTTAGTTCATTTACTAATTATGCTTTTGTTTGCCAGTCATATTATATTTAAGCACATTAACGTTAAGAATGAAAATCAAACGATTTGATTACTATAATTATATCGCCCTATTTAACATAAGCATAGAAACATAATTTCCTGTGGACACCTGGTAATCTAACTTAATAAGTCTGAAAATTAATGATTGCCATCTGTTTGGTAACATCATTTGACAGAAAAAAAGAAGGCAACAAAACTTTGGCAAAACTTTTGACAACTACATTTAGTACATTGTATTACCGGCCTTGTATCAGTACATTTATCTAATTCATTTGACTATATATAACGTTAGTCCCTTGCTGCAGGTGTGAGGTGTATTCGGCGACACCGCATGGATTCCACCAACAGCCATCATCACTGTCCTAACTCTAAACCATCTCACCTCCATGCGCCCACGGTGTGTACGTAGTTGGACAGCGCCACGGTCGTTTTGAACGACAAAATGTCGTCGAACACGGCGACTTTCCTGTCCCTTGTCGTGGAGTAAGTCCACTTAGCAGCCTGGAGCAGACCCTCCTTTGCTTCCTCTCCGCTTCCTTGTGCCATTCCGAACTGGTTCGGGTTGTCGAAGGGCCATGCAGCTGGGTCTACCTGGCTTTCTGTTTGAGACTTGGCAGAGTTAAACGCATAAACCCAGAAAATTAAAGATAGCAGCTTTGGAAAGTTCGCCATGGTGCCCAGAAGCTTCGAAATCGAGCTTTTGTAGACAAACCTACACAGAGAAACAGGTCCGACCAGTAGGGTACATGTAATTTGGGCCAAATGGCCTACGTGCCTCACAAAACTTGTTTTCCAAGTAAGCGTGTGGCTGTTGGCATGATGCACTCTGACATGTCAATACTTCCTCCTTGCTTCCGGGTTTTCGTGATGCACCTTGGGATACGTACCACCTGTTTTAACTGTGGTTCATGCATAGCTCGCAAGAGGTCTCTGTTGTACGGTGTCTGAAATCGTAAATAGGTATTTCTCGTGCTCGATATTTCATGCGCTTATAACATTACAAAGACGACTATAAAGTTTTAAAAGTTATGAAGTTTGAAATCTAACATCCCATAAGCGGACGTGCTTGAGCGATGTCCTCAAGAAGCGCTTATTGCAATCGCCGCTAGGGGTCGCTCAAACATGTACCACCTAATGGCACCCAAAGAGTTGTAAGGAAATGTGCATCGTTTGTAACTGTATGTATACGGCATAGCTTCTAGATATAAACAAGGGAAATCGTAGATTTCAAACCTCCGGGTTTTTTTTCTATTGGTTTAGGTTATTTGTTTGTGTGTAGTATGAAAGTTATAATGTGCGTAATATGTTTGTATGCCGGTTTGATGGCTACTGACGGTTGGTTCGGTATGGACTGTTGATTAACGCAGTGTTCGAAATACTTTTTTGAGCAAAGTAGCACAGTGTGCTACCTAGGGCAAAAACTAGGTAGCGCAGCAGAATTTTAGGTAGCGCCACGCCCCCCCCCCCATTTGTCAAATTCTATGCACGTGTCGCAATACTATATTTCTTCCAATCATAGAGGTATAATACATTGTACCTCCATGCTCTAATAAAGTTACTATTTTTGAGGTTTCAACTCTGAAGTAGGAGCTCTGGGTCGAAGCCAAATTACGGGTGCGTGATTTATTCTGGTTTTCTACTGAGAAAAATCGGGACAGTATTTGCGCCGGGCAGCCGGCCATGTACGCGAAATGGTACGCCCAGTATAGCAGCGATCTATTCATGTTTTATGTTTACAATTGTGCAAATTTTTTTTACAGAAATTTGATCACATATGCTTAAAAATATTGTTATACTGATGTTAAAAAATATTTTAAGACACTGAATCGCTGGCTGTGATGTGCAGCAGTGTACGTACGCCGCGTAGCGTGCCAGACATTGGCCGTGCAAGCCTATAGAATGCCCCACTTGCGACATAAATTTCTGAGGCTTATCGTGCGCATCCACAATTATTCCCATCGTAAACATAGTCACTGGGATCTGAAATGCATACATACAGGATAATTTCCTTTCTTCAGCGGGAGTTTTGTTTATGTTTTGATCGTACACGTCAAACTGCCACGCTGGTCTACGCTGCGCGCTGGTCTCGGCTGCACTTCCGGGTTCCTAAATTGACACCATAAATCGACAAAGAAACAAATATTTCCCCCCAAATTTATATTAATTGTGCACTTTTTCACTAGATGTGGCTATGCAGTCCTGGAAAACAGCGTTTAGTGCATATTTTCAAACAGAAAAATCGCGTCCCCGCGCCCTTCATGTTGCCGCCCGGCGATCTCAGCTGAAGCGAACAACCAATCAGAGACGCGTAACGCGGATACGTCATGCAAGATTTGCATACGCCCGCCCACCGCTTCTGCTGGCTGCTGCCATGCTAGCTACGCGCCGTACTTGAAATAAATTGAACGTGTATCGCCGTATTTCTGGAAATAAATGCCGCGACACGAAGATCTAGCGCTGACTCGGCTTGCACCCAGCGTTCAGCGTCACCCGCGCCATTAGCCCCGCCGTCATCCCGCGCCGTCATTGCTGCGCCGTCACCCAACGTTTTTATCGGAACCAGACACCCCTCTGTTTGACCCCTTTTAAATGGTAAGACCCAAAACTGAAACCTCCCCATTCCTTAACAACATGGTAAATTCCATTTTCAGCATAACGGGGGTGTCCGGAGCACTTAAAAACCTTTTATTTCGACGCCCATAAACACATATGCAATTAAACAAAACGTTCTGCATCATCTGCAGCCCAACAGCAATACGTATACCGAACAACAGACCAATCCGTCCAGCCGATCGCGAGAAACAGCTGCTGACAGAAATGTTTCGAACAATAGTAAAACCTCCTCGCGGAAGGATATCTCCTTCCCCGGAGGTAAAAATGTCGGTGTTAATGTTAATAGATATCAGATGTTCAAATGAGATCGTGCATACATTTATTACACATAAAAGCCAAACTCAAGAAGAGTTTTTGTACTAAATACATGAACTAGCAAAAACAAAGTCTAAGTTATGTTACAGTTCACAAAATACTAGCATCACACGAAAAGGAAGACCTAGAAGAAATTTCTCAAGTCTTGTAGAGGCAGGTCACATACATGTACTTTACCTTCATAAACATGTAGTGTTGCACTATGTAAAACTTTCTCACATTTCAACATACAAATAAACAGAGACATCCAAAATCCTTTTTGGCATTCATAACTAGCTTGCACAGAAATGTTTTTAACATACATAAGCAAAGCTTTTCTTTTAAGTTTACTAAGGTCTTACAAAAGTTACTTTTAGTTTCACTTTGGATTACTACATAATCAGTGCCCATTAATGCTGAAACCATACCCTTACCACCTTAAAAAAAGCTCCTGTTTTCTTAGCTGTTTATCTTTACTAGTCTTGACCAGTTGCTGCAATGAATGTTAACATTTGTCAGAGACTGTGTGCAACCCTTGGGCCCTTGTCGTCTTGCCAGACAATCGTCATGCAACCACAAAGTTTAAAACTACAAGCATGTATAGTGTCATGGTTATGTTTCAGGAGGTTCATTTTTTTGGCTTGAGGTTTATTACATAGACAAAGGCACACCCATTTAATACTAATCATAGCTTTGTTGTCACTACAATCCTAGGAAACTCCCATCATGCATTGCAACACAGCTGGGAGCAGCAAACACTTTGGATCCTTCAAAGCTGTTCCAAGGGGTGGTCACAGTTTCCAAAATTATCCTTGACCAACTCACAACTTCTGCCTCCCCTGGGACATATTTGGAATAGCCGACAAACTCCAAGGCTGATTTTCTTAATACATGTGCAGCTCCTTCATTTAAAGTTCCGGGGTTGAACTGAAATTTCCTACACAACATACAGTTAAGTTTTAGAAAGGACAATGACAAAGAATGTCCATAAATAAAAAAGGCATACTGTCTATAATGCAAGGTAAAACAAACCATATACAATAATTTCATACATCAAAATCAATGTCTATGCATTATACTATGGGGCACTAGTTAAACAAATTATACACAAGGACATGTGTCAAATTGGAAGGAAAAAGCAGACATCTAAACGTTTTGTCACAGGCAAATTCCCAAATGTTTCGTATCAAACTTCACCAATATTGATATTTTAAATGGATTGCAAATGGTTCTATAACACCTTTCACCAGGACTTCCGTAGGCTGGTATAAGCATTATATTTTGTGCACTTGTCAACAGGAAACCCAGAGGAAAGGGGGACAGTGGCAGACAATTATATTAAACTGCCCATGTACATGTAGCTGTAAGCATGTGAGTAAGGACCCTATCAAACATCCATTGTTTGGACAACAGCGACTTGTCTCACACCCTAGCCTTTAGGGTTTACTCTGACAAGTGTGTTGTTCTCATCATCCTAAAACAGGCACTCTTCAGTCTTTCTTCTTGTCTTCCACACCACCCTTCTCCTGCTCCTTGCTTCCAGGGGATTTTTTGCTGTTTCTTGCTTCTCTGATTTGTGACCTGATCTTTGACCTCTTGACCTTGATCATCAAGTCCCAGGATGCAGAAAACCACATGATCTGAAAATAGTAAAAATGAGTTAGCCTCTAGTACAATAGTAGGTCCCATCTAACTTTTATAACCTTTGTAATGTCCCAAGCATGATATAACAATTATAGTGTTTTTTCAAAATTCCTGCCAGTTTGGAATTTTCTTCATCACTTTACAAGAAAATATATAATATATATGTTCAGGCCCTTGGGAGGAACAAATATTAATCTTCAAATGAAAGCTCATCTGTGTTGATTCCCTCCTGACATCATCACGCTTTCGACTTCCGGGGAGTCAGCGAGTGAATCATACACCTGACAACGGTTGATGAGATCAACCAAACATTTATGGTGAGTTTCTTTCTTGTGTTGGAACAAAGTTTAAACTCTACAACTTACTGCAACTATCAGACATCTTACAGAAACACAGAAAACAAAGAAAATATTTAATGTTAAAAAAACATGGTAAGATTGAAGCTGTCCGTACCACAATGATGAGACAGTTGAGCAACAGTGGCAGGGACAGCACCAGGGAGATGAACAGCCCGCTGCTGTCAAAGTACTGCAGCTTGGAGAAAAGCCTGGAACAGCAAAACAGCAATCAGAGATAAAAATACTTGAAATGAGACAATCAAAACTTAACAGAAATGCTAGTGAGCGATTGTGTAATGCAGGCTAGCATGCCACAGTGATTGGATATGTTACACCAAACAACTTGACAGACCATTAAATTTAGTCCCTTTGCAAGAGTCAATAGCCAACTGACTTGGCTATTGCTATCGAATTGTGTTGAATTTCAAGTATCCTTATGAATTAGTTATTCCCAAGACAATACCACCAAGGAAGAAACACTTACTTGTAATTGGTTGATGCCCATTCATTGATGTATTGTGCAGAATATGCAAGAAGCACTGGGAACAAGAAAAAGATGTCCTTTAAAGAGGGGCAACTGATCTTCCAAATACTAGTATTACTCCAGACCTACCAACAAATAACAATATATGGGAAGCCATTAAGAACAAATTATATCAAGTTTTGTTGGGGGGGGGAGGGTAGGTGATTAAAGTGCGATTAGGGCTACAATACATACCTGTACTATATGTGTGTTGTGTGTTTGGGGGGCTTATCTGACAAGAAGATGCACGGAAACCAACTCATTCCTAAACAGAATAACTTCTGTTTACACTATGAAAACATTAATGCATGCAGTCATCCTAGTAAATCCCATTTCTTGAAAATGTTGGAAAGGGAAGCAGGGGAATTTGATAACCAGTAATTACAATACTGAGACCTCAAAAATATTGCAAGGGTAGAATGTTGTAACTGTTTTTGTCAAGAATTGAGCAAGACTTCTTGTTCAGCCAAGGCATCATTTCTGTACCTTTGATGTTATAAAAATCAAACCCAGTGAAAAGATTGCACTGCAGGTACCTGATTAAGATACTTACAGAGAATACAGAAGTGGGCACATTGCAGGTTGATGTGCTTTCTTGTCAGGAAAGTCAAGACGAAACAGAAGGCGTGGAACACCTGTAGTCCAATCAGCCATGGTTCGCTCCAATCAATCTGTCAACAACAACAACAACAACAACAACAAAGGTGAGAAACAAACAAAACGTACATAAGCCCCATGGTTAAACCATGGAGGTAGAAATCTGATCTTTTAACTCCATGGTTGAACATAACATTACATGTATTCTACAAGTGCAACCTGTTGACAAATAATGAGTGTGTACAGCGGGAAGATTCACTCATATCAAGTTTCAAAGCTGAGAAACGTCTGCAGCTGTATGTAATCAGCCCTGGTGAGGTTAAACCGTTCGTAAACACAAACAAAATCCTCTGAGAGTCTGTGGCTTTTCTATGAACACTTCACGGTTTTTTTTTCTTCTTCTTCTTCTTTCCCGTACGTGCACAACCTCAATAAGTTGAGGGCTCCGGCACGGTGAGGGGTAGGGGTTTTTGGTTTGGATTTGGGGTGTCGCTCTTATTTTGTATTGTGTATATGATGTGTATATATATGTTGTTGTAGTCTGTTGGCTACAGACTACAAGCTCCTCAATGGGCAGGGGCGCCACTCCCTGTCCGCCAGCTAGGTGGCGGTGAGTACCCGTGACTCTTGTTTGGGGTTACAAGGTGTGAATGGCATTTTTAAATGCCTGCAGTGACTTTGCTTTCACCACACTATCTGGTAGGCGGTTCCATTCTCTAACAGTTTTAGAGTAGAAGGAATTTAGGTGATAGTCAGCTCGTGAGCTTGGAGGGTGGAGGGCTAAGCTGTTTTCAGTGCGAGAGGGAGCTCGTAGCCCCTTGCTTGCTAGCGGCATGTGCATAGCTACAATGTTATTTGTGATCTTATAAAACATCTGTAAGCGGGCGTTTCGCCTCCTTTCTACGAGCAAAGGCCAGTCAAGTGTGACTAGCATGTTAGACACACTAGACTGCCGTCTGTAGCGGCGGAGGGCAAAACGCGCCGCCCTTCTTTGGACAGCCTCCAGGTTCCTTATATTACTCTGGGTATAAGGATCCCATACCGTCTGACAATACTCAAGTATAGGGCGCACTAGGGTTTTGTAAGCCCGGGCCTTGACCTGTGGATTTGCAATGTTAATATTGCGTCTCAGGAAATTAACGGTATTGTTGGCTTTTGAGGATACGTGATCTATATGAAGGTCCCATCGTAAATCTCCAGATATAAGGACACCAAGATATTTGACAAAGCTGACATGTTTGAGAATATGCCCATGCAGGGAGTAGTCGTAGACAATGGGAGCTCTCTTTCTGGTGATGCTGAGCACTTCACACTTGTCAGGGTGGAACTCCATAGTCCACTTTTCCCCCCACTCTGCCAAAGTATCAAGGTCGTTCTGGAGTTTCAGTGAATCACCCTGGCATGAGACCGTCATGTAAATCATGGTATCGTCCGCAAATAAGCGAGCTGTAGAGTGTAAGTTTTCAGTGATATCATTTATGTAATACAAAAACAGGCAAGGTCCGAGCACCGAGCCCTGTGGGACCCCTGAAATGACATCCAATTTGCTAGAAGTCACCCCCTCGATGACCACTGACTGGGTACGACAATGGAGGAAGTCTTCTATCCAGTTCCTGGTCTGAGGTTCAATGCCGTACCACTGAAGCTTCCGAATGAGTCGTTTGTGGCCTACCTTATCGAAGGCTTTAGAGAAATCAAGCACACAGACATCTGTCTGGAGACCTTCCTGCATGTTGTTTACAATGTCATGAACAAGTTCCAGAAGCTGTGTCTCACATGACCTTCCGGGTCGAAAACCGTTTTGTAGCTGATAGAAGAGATCATGCTGTTCCGCATGCTTCATCAGGCTACTACAAATAACATGTTCCATTAACTTAGAGGCAATACAGGTTAAGCTAATAGGTCTGTAGTTTGCTTTATCGTACCTTTGGCCTTTTTAAAGATCGGAGTCACGTTTGCGTGCTTCCAGTCATCGGGGATTTTACTTGTTAAGAGTGATTTTTTAAATATTCGTGTCAAGGGATCAGCTAGCTGTTCAGAGAGTTCTTTAAAGATTTTTGGACTAAGGCCATCAGGGCCAGCAGCTTTTGTTGGATTAAGGTTTTGTAGTAATTTCAGAACTCCTTGTTTGTGGATACTAATTTTAGACATGGGTTTGGTCTTCCTACCACGTCGAGTAGGTATTGCTGGAGTCTCACGTGTGAACACGGAGTGGAACTGTGCATTTAGAAGTTCTGCTTTTTGCTGTGGATCAGTGATAAGTCTACCTTTATCTTTCAGTGGTGCAATTCCAGAATGGTCAGTACGCTGATGTTTAATAAACTTCCAGAACTTCTTTCTACATGTGTCACTGTTTTCGTCACTCTCTGGAGTGATGATTTCTTCTACATACTCCCAGTAGGCTTTCCTCAGCTCACGCTGTACCTCGCGTTTGAGTCTCAGAAATTTTGCCTCTAAAGACGGGCGTCCAGTCTTTTACTAGCTTTATATGCTTTGTCTCTATGTTTGATTTTACGTCGTAAGTTAGGGTTTAACCATGGGTGAGAGTCCTTTCTTTTAGTTGTACGATGTGGGATGTAAGTCTTTATACCCTCAAGGAGTCCGTTTTTCAAAATGTTCCAGAGGTGGTTTATATTAGATGATGGCTTAGAGGGGTTTGGTTTGCCCCTCCCCCCTCATATTGTCATTTTACCACACACAGCGTAACGTCACGCCCATAAGCTTTCCAAACACAAAGCTGTGCACAATCTCAGGTCTTAAGATGTAAATATGTAGCATAGTTGGGGGCATCAAGGGTTGATTTGATCAGGAAAGTTCACAAAATACTTGTAGTCTCACTCTCACGTATGATTAAAATGTTTGGAGCATGATCATGACATGACACGACTACAGCTTGCGTCAAACGCCCGCCATTGGAGATAAACGTATCTTATAATCAAGGAAACAGAACAGTAGATATCTAGTCCTTACCGCGTTTAAGAAGTCCCAGACGCCGGTGATCGCGTCGGTTCTTACGGAGTCCGGGAAGTTGTTTTGTAACCACGCCTCACGAAACAACACCTTCCCGGTTTCCGCCATCTTGTCGTGTGGTTACACAACCTGGCAGATAATTTGTTGCCGAGACTGAAATGTCTCCATTTCTAGTCCTGAAAGATTTTCCTCACCCTCTAGACCAATTTATATCACATAAATGGAGATAAAGAAATAATTGATACCAATTTTTTTCTTA